TTTTGCTGTTGTTACCCAGACTGGAGTGCAATGGCACAATCTCGGCTCACCGCAACCTCCGCCTTCTGGGTTCAAGCAAGTCTCCTGCCTCAGCCTCCCGAGTAGCTGGGACTACAGGCACGCACCACCATGCCCAGCTAATTTTTGTATTTTTAGTAGAGACAGGGTTTCACCTTGTTGACCAGGATGGTCTCGATCTCTTGACCTCGTGATCCACCCACCTCGGCCTCCCAAAGTGCTGCCATTATAGGCGTGAGCCACCGTGCCCGGCCACATTAACTTTTTAAGAAAAGTGAATTGGTGAAAAATATGAAGTAAATAATAATAGTCATAGATGGATATGGGGAAAAAACTGGGCAGGTGATACATGAATGACAGAAATTGGAGAATACAGAATTCCAAATTAAACTTCTTGTTTATACCTCAGAAAAATGATCTTCTAACGTCCTTAGTCAAATGCTTTTTAAGGTAGAATAAACATGATAAACTCCCTACCACTCTTCAAAGAATTTTCTTTAAAGCTAAAATATGCCCTGTATTTTTTATGGAATGTCATACCAAACACTTAGAGAAAATAACATATTAAAAAATAAAGGACAAAAGCATATGTACTGATTTGTCATCCCTGTTCGGTAGCTGCAAATGGTGTGACTGTGACCATGAATGACAGATATAATGTCACTAAGTTTTTCTTAAATAGTCCATGGGTTCTGCAACCCCTTAAACTAAGCTTGTCCAACCCATGGCCCAACACAAATTTGTAAACTTTCTTAAAATGTTACAAGATATTTTGGCAATTTTTTAAGAAAATTAATCAGCTATTGTTAGTATTAGTGTGTTTTATGTGTGAACCAAGACAATACTTCTTCTAATGTGGCCAAGGGAAGCCAAAGATTGGACACCCACTTCCTTAAAAACTTTTTTTTTTTTTGGACCTTAAAAACTTCTATTTTACAGTTTGGGTGCAGTGGCTCAGACCTGTAATTCCAGCACTTTGAGAGGCCGAGGTGGGTGGATCACCTGAGGTCAGGAGTTTGAGACCAGCCTCGCCAACATGGTGAAAAACCATCTCTACAAAAATACAAAAATTAGCCCAGCATGATGGTGGATGCCTGTAGTCCCAGCTACTCAGGCAGCTGAGGCAGGAGAATGGCTTGAACTTGGGAGGCAGAGGTTGCAGCTGGCCCAGATCATGCCATTGCACTCCAGCCTGGGTGACTGAGTGGTATGTCTCAAAACAAAAACGAAAACAAAAACAACTTCTATTTAACCAACAGCTATGGAACATCTACTATCAAGCCAAGTGCTCTAAATCTTAAGGGTATAAAGTAGTACATTATTATTGTTTAAATTTGCATAATCTGATTACTAACAAGGTTGAGACTATTTTAATATGCTTGTTAGTCATTTTAACTTTTCATTTTGTGAACTGCTTCTCCCTATCCTTTGCTTTTCTGTTGGGTTTTCTGTTCAATTTTCAGAAGTTCTTTATTTTTAAATATTGATTTTTGTTGGCAGTATATACTGCAAAATATAGATTCCCTATATGTCTGCTATTGATGTCTTTTGTTGAGCAGAAATCCTGAAATTTAACATAGATAGATTCATTACATTTTCCCTTTACATTGTACCTCCTGCCTCTTACTTTTACAAAATTCTTTCCAACTACGATGTCCCCAAATTATTTTCCTACACGTTTTCCTAACTTTCTGAGTTTACTCTTTATGTTTAGGTCTTACACCCATCTGAATTTGTTTATAGATGTGATTCAAACTTTATTTTTGTTAATTCAAGTGAACCAATTTTCCACTGCTATGAAATAATTCATCTTACCCAGTGATTCATAATACCAATTTTATCATATAACAGCTCCCCATGGGCATAGTTGGCCTGTAAACCTGTGTCTTATGCAATTATATTCCATTGTTCGTTCCTCCGGAAGTATCACATGCTTTAATAGCAACAGCATCTTTAAATATTAGGGCTTGGGTGAGCGTAGGCAGAGAACAAGTGAAACAAAGAGAAACAGCTAATAATTAAAAAAATAAAATTAGTAAATATTAGGGCTTTGCTTATAGCAAATAAATATTAGAGCTTCCTATAAATATGTATTCAACTTTAGCAAATACTTCTTCACCATGTATTCAGATAAATGTGGGTTTCCTCCTTTAGTCTGTCAATATTATGGATTATATTGATTTCTGTTTGATGACCTCTATATTCCTAGGAAAATCCTACTTGGATTAAAAAAAAAATTCTAAGCCGGGTGTGATGGCACGCACCTGTAATCCCAGCTACTCAGGAGGCTGAGGCAGGAGAATCACTTGAACTCGGGAGGCAGAGGTTGCAGTGAGCCGAGATTGCGCCACTGCCCTCCAGCCTGGGTAACAAGAACAAATTTCTGTCTCAAAAAAAAAAAAAAAAAAATCTAATCGTTGGCCTCCGGTAGCTTATATTTCCTATGTTTGCCTCTGTATTCATAAATGTGATTTTCTTATTTTATTTTATTTTTCCAAAATAGAGTCTTGCTCTTCGCCTAGAGCTGGAGTGCAGTGGTGTGATTTTGGCTTATTGCAACCTCCGCCTTTTGGGTTCAAGCAATTCTCCTGCCTCAGCCTCCCGAGTAGGTGGGATTACAGGCGTGTGCCACCATACCCAGCTAATTTTTGTACTTTTAGTAGAGACGGGGTTTCACCATGTTGGCCAGGCTGGTCTTGATCTCCTGACCTCAGGTGATCCATCCGCCTCTGTCTCCCAAAGTGCTGGGATTACAGACAAGAGCCACCACAGCCAGTCTGTATGATTTTCTTTACTTGTACTCTCCTTATCCAGTGTGCTATCTAGGTTTTTTAATATCTCATAAATGCCCTGGGGGCTTGGCCCAGTGGCTTACACCTGTAATCCCAACACTTTGGGAGGCCAAGGTGGGTGGATCACCCGAGATCAGGAGTTTGGGACAGCCTGGAAACATGGTGAAACCCCATCTCTACTAAAAAGTACAAAATTAGGCATGGGGGTGTGTGCCTGTAATACCAGTTACTCAGAAGGCTGAGGCAGGAGGATCACTTGAATCCAGGAGGCCTAGGTTGCAGTAAGCTGAGATCATGCCATTGCACTCCAGCCTGGGAAAAAAGAGTGAAACTCTGTCTCAAAAAAAAAAATTAAAAATGCATTGGGGTATTCTCTTTCTCTATGCTTTGCAAAATCTATGTGAAATAAATGTTTTCTTTAAACGTGGTAGAAAGTTATCCCTAAAATCATCTAGACCTGGCAATTTTTGTGTATGTGGGAAATTTAGCCTATTCGAGTTTTCTATTTTTCTCCAGCTAATTTTGGTATTTGATGTTTTCCCAGATTTTATACTTCATTTAAGCTTTTATATTATTTATCTATAGTTATTCTGCCCTTAATCTGTGTCTTCTCACATTTTTTATGTTCTTGAACAAATTTGGCAGTGATATGTCAAATTGATAATTTCTTTCAAATAGCATTAGTTTTTGTTAATATTTATGTTGGTTTTAGCCTTTATGTTTTAATAATTTTCCTTCTTTGTGTTTACTCTCCTGGTTTTTTGGTGATATGTCTGTTCCACACACCAAAAAAAGGCAATGGATAAATTTCTTGTTACTGTATTAAACATTTAATTATCGTGTTATAATTTATAGCATCTAATATGCCAGTCTTGCTTTAAAATACGGTAATTATATTAAATATACTTATTAAGCACAAGAGTAATAAAAGGATACCATCATGATTTTTAAAATTCAAACAAATAAAGTAGAAGTTCCCTTTTCAATTACCTGTGCTCAGAACGGATGGATCAGCTGGCTCCATCCAGACGGAAAAACTGGCTCATCTGATCTACTGTCCCCCCACCCAGGAACTGACTGAGAGCAAGAAGACAGTTTCCACTCCCTGTGATTTCATCCCTGGCCAATCAGCACTCCTGGCTCACTGGCCCCTTCCCCCCAGCAAATTGTCCTTAAAAACCGCTCCCAGAATGCTGCTTCGGGAAACTGATTTTATTAATAATAAAACTCCAGTCTCCCGCACAGCGGGCTCTGCGTGGATTACTCTTTATTGCAGTTCCCCTGTCTTGAATCAGTTCTCTCCAGTCAGCGGACAAGGTGAACGCCTTCCTAGGGCGGTTACAATCCGAAGCTAGAATTTTTTTTTTTTTTTCGGAGATGGAGTTTCGCTCTTGTTACCCAGGCTGGAGTGCAATGGCACGATCTCGGCTCACCGCTACCTCCGCCTCCTGGGTTCAGGCAATTCTCCTGCCTCAGCCTCCTGAGTAGCTGGGATTACAGGCACGCGCCACCATGCCCAGCTAATTTTTTGTATTTTTAGTAGAGACGGGGTTTCACCATGTTGACCAAGATGGTCTTGATCTCTTGACCTCGTGATCCACCCGCCTCGGCCTCCCAAAGTGCTGGGATTACAGGCTTGAGCCACCGCGCCCGGCCCCGAAGCTAGAATTTTAAGTATAATGCAAGTTGTTGGAAAGCTTTTAAGCTCAGAGAGTAATACGATCCAGATTTCCTCTTTATTTTTTTGATCTGGAGACAATGTCTCGCTCAGTTGCCCAGGCTGGAGTGCAGTGGTGCGATAAATCACAGTTCACTGCAGCCCTGAGCCCAAGCGATCCTCCCACTTCAGCATCCGAAGAAGCTGGGACCACGGGTGTGTGCCAGGACGCCTCGCTAGGCTTTTAAAATTTTTTAATTTTTAATTTTTTTATTTTGTAGAGACGCTGGCGGTGGGGGCAGGTCTCCCTATGTTGCCCAGGCTGGTCACGAACTCCCGCACTTAAGAGATTCTCCACCCCTTTCGGGCTCCCAACGTGCCGGATTACAGGCATCAGCCACGACCATCATTGGAAACTGGCTAAGCCTAGGCTGGGCAGAGGCTTGGACACTTTGAGGGGAGAAGTCGGAGCGGGAACAGAAACCACTCTCCTGGCAGCAGTTCCTGCCCACAGCAAGCCTGCCTTCTGCCCTTAAGGAAAATGGCGCCTGGAAGAGACGCACTTCCGGCCCCGGAGCCAAACAAAACAACGGAGGCCAGAGGCCGGAAGTGACCCCTCGGCCATTCCCCCGCCTCCTCGCCGCTGCTAACTTACAGGGAAGATGAGGCAGTCCGGGGCCTGCGGCCGAGCAGCTCTTGCCGGGTGGTAGTCGGGGCGGAGACTGTGAGTGCCGGCTGCCTCGACCTCCTGCGCGTTTGCTGCGCTCGGAGTGACCATCGAGCGGCTAGGGACAAGGTGCGGGAGCCGGGGACGCGGCGTTCTGTGGGAAACGAGGGAGCGAACCGTCTGCCGAGTGGAGCTCGCGGAGGCCGCGAGGCCGAGCCGGGGGTGGGAGTCGGGGACTGGACCTGGACGGGCGCGCGGGGCGGGGTGCGGGGTGGTGGGAGCCTTTCCTGGGCAGCTGTTCACACCCAGCTCCTACGCTGCTGCTCCGCGCGGCGTTTCTTGACCCTCTGGAAGAATCCGCCTTCTTTGTAGCCACTGTTGCTTTCCGTGTACACACTGGGATTAGACCGGGGTGTCATTGTTTGTCTTTGGTGTATTTTTCTTGAGAAACCACCATGGGGAATGTTTTTAAAACTTACATTTTTTGAAGTTTCTGGTACTTTGGCTGGAAGCGTTAATGCCCTCTTTAAGCCTTACCTCCTCATCTGTAGTGTTGAACTCCGTCTTTCTTTTTTTTGAGACGGAGTCTCGCTCTGACGCCAGGCTGGAGTGCCCTGGAGCGACCTAGGCTCACTGCGACCTCCGCCTCCCGGGTTTAAGTGATTCTCCTGCCTCAGCCTCCAAGTAGCTGGGATTACAGGCGCGCACCACCATTCCCAGCTAATTTTTTTGTATTTTTAGTAGAGATGGGGTTTCATTCACCATGTTGACCAGGCTGGTCTCGAACTCCTGATCTCGTGATTCGGCCTCTCAAAGTGCTGGGATTACAGGCTTGAGCCACCGCGCCCGGCCTGAAGTCCTTCTTTCTAAATTTCAGTCTCGCATTGTGATCTTGGGATTTCCTCACTCAGCATATCCACCCCTACCCACCTAGACTAGCTCCAGGTGAAGAAACTGAGTTATTGTTTGTGAACTTGGCTTCCTCTCACCCCGTTTCCTGATGCACTTCAGAGTCACATGCAGTGACAATCTTAGGCACAGTTAGTTTCTTCTTCACCAAGTGGAAATTGGGTAGAAATTGCAACCAAGATTTTGTCTTAATAGATTTCACTTATTTTAGCTGAATATTCAAAAGTCGTCTCAAGTTGTCTGACTAGAACACTCCCCAAAAAAATTACCTAAAAACATTTTGTCAGCCTAATTCATTCCATTGGGGAGTTGGTGAATGTCACTGGTGTGTCATCCGTTTGCATGTCTATCATTCCACTTCAGTTCGTGCTTTTCTAACTTTATCTCGCCCTAGTAGCATAATGGCAGAAACTGTTTCTCCACTCAAGCACTTTGTGCTGGCTAAGAAGGCGATTACTGCAATCTTTGACCAGTTATTGGAGTTTGTTACTGAAGGATCACATTTTGTTGAAGGTTAGTTCTTAAGTTCTTAAAATAATTACTGTTGAAAATACAAAAGTGCTTATTCTTTCAACGTTAGTTATTGAGCACATATAGAGGGCATTGTATGGTATACTATGAGAAGTACAATCATGAATAAAACCAATTTCTACCCTCCAGAAGACGAAAATTCAATGGTATTCATAACAACTAGGAACTTTAGTATATTAATAGCTCATTTAATTTTCATCACCACTAGGCAGGTACTAATCTTACTCATTTAAAGATGAAGAAACCAAGGCACAGAAAAGTTAAACAGCTTGCCCAAGATCACACAGCTAGTAACTGCCCAGACAAAAAACCAGGCAGTCCACATTTAACCATTATGCTTGTGTCTTCATCAACTTAGCAATTACACTAAGACCTCAGGCCTATCTCATTCTCTCTAATGAGGCTGAGTTGCAGTGGAAAGGGGGGCAAAAGAGTTTCATAACTGTTAAAGGTGATGAAGAACGTCTCAGTAGGGAATACGTTTTTGGAGAGAACTGTTGAAAGCTTTTTCTGGTTCTTAAGATTATGCACCTCTCGGCCTCGTACCCTGGCTCACGCCTGTTATCCCAGCGCTTTGGGAGGCCGAGATGGGTGATCACCTGAGGTCAGGAATTCAGCTTGACCAACATGGCAAAACCTGGTCTCTACCAAAAATACAAAAAAATACCTGGGGAGGGTGGCAGACACCTATAATTCCAGCTATTTGGGAGGCTCAAGGCAGGAGAACCGCTTGAACCCAGGAGGTGGAGGTTGCAGTAAACCGATGTCTCACACTGCACGCCAGCCTGGGCGACAGCGTGAGAGTCCATCTCAAAAAAAAAAAAAAAAGATTGTGTACCTCTCAACTGTGCAATGGAAAGGGAAAGATTCTGTAAATTTTCCAGTGACAGTGGGGAAACCTTTGGCAGAATCAAACTTTTTTTTTTCCATGTCTCTCGAAACCCTCTCTTACCAGATTTTGAGCTGCTTTAGGGCAGGAGCCTAGGACTCATGGTATCCCTAGCACCAGACTTGACATAATTCAGTGCTGAATGAGAAAAAAAAAATAGTAGTATAGAATCTTTGTTTCCAACTAGGAAATAATTTGAGCTGGCATAATTTTCTTTGGGAAAATTTTTTTTTCTAAAAAAAATTGATAGGAAGTGAAAATGAAGTTAAATGTGTATTGTTGTTATAGATTATGCATTGCTAGGCGCTAGTGAAATGGCAGCTTTAGAATATGAATTCAGTTTTACTGGTTTTAGAACCTCAGTAAAAATGTTGCAGAAAGGAGACAAAGCAGATAAATCACGAAAAATGAGCAAAAATAAAATGAAAAGCAAAAATAAATGTAATGATACTTAAACTAGTCTGTCCATTATTCACCAAATAGCACGTATTTTATTAATGCATTAGAAAAGTATGGTGAGATAGGAAAAGCTTAATTGGATGTACACTGGGTAAGTTTTAAGTAGCAGTGTTTGTCTCTAATTAGAATTGTTCAGATAGCCAGATGATTCTCTGACAGAGTCTCACTCTGTTGCCTAGGTTGGAGTGCAGTAGATCTCCGTTCCACTCACTGTAACCTCTGCCTCCCGGATTGAAGTGATTTCCCGCTAATTTTTGTATTTTTAGTAGAGATGGTTTTACCACATTGGCCAGGCTGGTCACGAACTCCTGACCTCAAGTGACCCGCCCATATCGACCTTCCAAAGTACTAGGATTATAGACATGAGCCCGCAGCCCAAAAGAATCTTCATGTCGTTACCTTCATAAAGAAGGTAAACATCAGGTTTTCTCCTATTCCTGAATTATAAACAAAACTGAAAGATGTTTCTACTTTTCAAACCCAGGTGTTTTCAACTCCCTCTAGCCATGGAGGAGAGGTGAGGGCTGGGATGTTCAAAACTCTAAACCTGATGAGAGTGAGAGTGGGATACAATCTGATGATATCAGTGCATTCCGGGTGCTGTGGCTGTGGACAGGATACAAGCTGTAGTTCTCTTCCCTGTCTTTGTGTTAAATGAGCTGTTTCACCTCATCCCTGTGGGAAGCAGATAGAATGTGGTAAAGTAGCAAAGTCTTTCCTGACTTGGAGACCTTGAAGTATATCTTAATTTCTGAGGGGCTCCTATTCAAACCTGACTTTTTTATCAGTATGTGACTACCTGAGCTCCATTTCAATTTTACAGTAACATGTAAGAATCCAGAGCTTGATGGAATAGCCACTGAGGATGATCTGGCAGAAATACAGGGATATAAAGACAAGCTTTCCATCATTGCTGAGGTGCTATCTCGGAGGCACATGAAGGTGGCATTTTTTGGCAGGTAATTATTCATCACTTACTGTTTCTAAGATTAGTTTCTGGGGATCAGCTTTGTGTCTGATGTTTCTACAAGTTATATTTCTCCCATCCTCTCCCAAGTCCACAAGTTTCTGCCTGTGTTGAATGTTCAAGCTGTTAGTTAGCAAGTGAAAGAATGTGCCTGTCTTGCCTCCTGGTATAAAATGAGGCTTTATGAAACTCAGTCATATTTTTACCTTTTAAGGATTCTCATCTCTAAGAATTAGCTCTCAGCCAGCTTTAAGAATGGAAATACAGATAAATGCTAAGCATAATTTGTGGTTTACTCTTTTCAGTTTACTTTGATTATTTGAGAGTTCCAGATGCTAGGATGAAATCACCTATGTCCAACCTAGACAGGCCTAGAAGGCTGAAAGGAAAGAGGCTTTTGTGTACATGTCTGAGATAACCATTTCCAAGGACTTTCTAGAAATTCTTTCAAATCTCCTGCTTTGATAAGACTTATCAGTATACATACTTTAGGGCCGAAAATGTTCTCAGGAGGGCTCTTGCCCAGTAATGGCATCTCCACCAATGAACTGACAATAACTGGCATTGAACCTCCGGAACCAATGAACTCTGTTTTTCTTTCTTTTTAAATTTTTTTTAAAGATGGGATTTTACTGTGTTGGTCAGGCTGGTCTTGAACTCCCGACCTCAGGTGATCTGCCCTCCTTGGCCTCCAAAGTGGTTGGATTACAGGCATGAGCCACCATGCCCGGCCAATGAACTCTGTTTCTAGGCAGCTTATGTAAATCTCTTTTGGCTAATAAAAACTCCTCTTACCTTCACTGAATGCTGGTATGCCATTCCATGCATTCTAGATTATCCTTATTTTTGATTCCTAGTTAAATCAGCCTTTTTTTTTTTTTTTTTTGGTGAGCCAGAGTCTCACTGTCACCAGGGTGGAGTGCAGTGGCACAATCTTGGCTCTCTGTAGCCTCCATGTCCTGGGTTCAAGCGATTTTCCTCCCTTAGCCTCCTGAATAGCTGGGATTTACAGGCATTCACCACCATACCTGGCTAATTTTTGTATTTTTAGTAGAGAGGGGTTTGACCATGTTGGCTAGACTGGTCTTGAACTCCTGACCTCAGGTGATCCACCCACCTTGGCCTTCCAAAGTGCTGGGGGATTATAGACGTGAACTACCTACTGCACCCGGCCTAATTCTTAAATTTTTATTAGAGATGACGGTTCACCATGTTGGCCAGGCTGGTTTCGAACTCTTGACCTCAAGTGAACTGCTTGCCTTGGTCTCCATGAATGCTGGGATTACAGTCGTGAGCTACTGCACCTGGCCAGTTTAGAGATGGTTTTCTCTGGTGTCTTTCTTAAGGTTGACAATTAACAGGTTCACAGGTTGTAAGGATTATGGGGGTAATAAAGGGCAGTGATCAACTTCATCATTTCCAGACAGAGTGTAGAAAGCATCATTACCTTGGTGTAACTATCCAGAGAGAGAGGGTGATCTCTGTCACAGCTTATATACAAAGACAAATGATCAGCTCCATAATTGGTTATTCAGGTATCATGTGCTATGTACCAGCAGTGGCATATATTTACCAAACTAATTTCTTAGGCCTTCTCAGCTATTTCCTATCTGAGGGCTTTTGCCCTTGTAATTACCTACGCCTACGATTCTCCTTCCCTTGTTGTGTGTCTGATGCCTTCTCATTCTTCATATTTCATCCCAAATGTTATTAACTTGGACACCTTCTCTGACCACTCTAAATTATTCCTTCTCTGTTATTGTCTGTTAAAGCACCCTGTTTATGTCCTTCAACACTTCACAGAGCTCTTATTTTGTTTTTATTTTCTACTTCTATTTGACCATATTCTCGGGGCCTTACACACATTCTGGTATGAGTTAGCTCCATTAAAAAGGATCCTGCCGGCCGGGCATGGTGGCTCAAGCCTGTAATCCCAGCACTTTGGGAGGCTGAGGCGGGTGGATCACGAGGTCAAGAGATTCAGACCATCCTGGTCAACATGGTGAAACTCCATCTCTATTAAAAATACAAAAATTAGCTGGGCATGGTGGCGCGTGCCTGTAATCCCAGCTACTCAGGAGGCTGAGGCAGGAGAATTGCCTGAACCCAGGAGGCGGAGGTTGTGGTGAGCCGAGATCATGCCATTGCACTCCAGCCTGGGTAACAAGAGCAAAACTCCATCTCAAAAAAAAAAAAAAAGATCCTGCTTCAGATTAGGGTGGAGTAGGAAGAGCCTCCTGGGAAGGTGATGACTCAGCTGTCCTACTGAGAACTAGAAATAGGTATAGCTTTGGATGTGAAAAGGGTCCAAAAGTCCATTTTTGGCAGAAAGCCATAAATAGAAAGGGGGAGAGAGAACTCCCCCTTTCTATTTGTGTTTGGAGAACTCCAGTAGTTGAATTTAAGGCATTACAAAACAGTAGCAAAAGAAGCGGGTAGACACTTTGTAAGTAAAAACCAGATTGTAAAGGACCTTTAATATTTATGTATTGATATTAATATATCATGGTAAGGAGCTCTACATTGTTTTATTTTGGAAAATAGTCATGAGAGGATTGGATGTTAGTTATAACCTTAAATATAATGGGGAGAATGAATTGAATGAGGACAGGAAGTAGCAGGCGTTGTAGCAGTGTTACCTGAAAGGTATCCTGATCCTGATCCCAAGAGAGGGTTCTTAGACCTTGAGCAAGAAAGAATTCTGGCAAGTCTGTAAAGTGAAAGTAAGTTTATTAAGAAAGTGAAGGGGTAGGCTGCTCCACGCCCAGAACTGCTGCTTCTCTATTTTGATGGTTATTTCTTGATTGTATGCCAAACAAAGGGTGCATTATTCATGAGTTTTCCAGGTAGGGGATGGGCAATTCCCAGAACTGAGGGTTGGTATCCGTCCCCTTTTTTTTTTTTGAGATGGAGTTTCATTCTTGTCACCCAGACTGGAGTGCAATGGCGTGATCTCGGCTCACTGCAACCTCTGCCTCCTGGTTCAAGCAGTTCTCCTGCCTCAGCCTCCCGAGTAGTTGGGATTACATGGGATTACAGGTGTTCGCCACCATGCCCTGTTAATTTTTGTATTATTGGTAGAGACAAGGTTTACTATGTTAGTCAGGCTGGTTTCGAACTCCTGACCTCAGGTGATCCACCCACCTTGGCCTCCCAAGTGCTGGGATTACAGGCGTGAGCCACTGCACCTGGCCATAATTTTTATGTTTTTAGTAGAGACGGGGTTTTGCCATGTTGGCCAGGCTGGTCTTGCTCAAGTGATCCACCCACCTGGGCCTCCAAAAGTGCTGGGATTACAGGCGTGAGCCACCGCACCTGGCCATAATTTTTATGTTTTTGTTTTTGTTTTTTTTAAAGACCCAGTTTCACCATGTTGGCCAGGCTGGTATTGAACTCCTGACCTCAGGTGATCCTCCTTCCTCGGCCTCCAAAAGTGCTGAGATCACAGGCGTGAGCCACCTCGCCTGGCCCAATTTTTATGTTTTTAGTAGAGACGAGGTTTTGCCATGTTGGCCAGGCTGGTCTTGAACTCCTGACCTCAGGTGATCCATCTGCCTCAGCCTCTCAAAGTGCTGGGATTACAGGTGTGAGCCGTGTTTCCTCTAGCCCCAGCTGGTGTTTCCCTGGGTAGTCCCTTTTCCTCTCCCCGGTACTGTCATGTTTACCTTTTCTTGACAGTCTTCCTAGGTCATCTCATCAACTCCTGTGATCTCTATCACCAGCATAAGCCAGTAATTCCTAAATTTCTTAGGCGTCTCCCTAGTCCAAGTCTCACATATCCAGCAGCCTTTTTTGTAACTAGTCTTGAACACTCAACAGGTACTACAGATGTACATCTAGATTATCCAAAATCAAACTATTTAGGTCAATGCAAAAGTAATTGCATTTTTCACCATAAAATAAAATGGCAAAAAATGCGGTTATTTTTGTCCTGACCTATACTTAATTTCCAAACGCCCGCTTCAATGAATGGCACTCAGTCAACCAAGTTATCTTTGGTACTTCTCTTGCCTTCCTAAAACAACCAGTAGAGCAGCCTAATAAACTGTCTTATATCTCTACTAAAAATAGTAAAATTAACTGAGTATGGTGGCACACACCTGTAATTGAAGCTACTTGGGAGGCCTTGGCAGGAGAATTGCTTCAACCCAGGAGGCAGAGGTTGCAGTGAGCTGAGATCACACCACTGCACTCCATCCTGGGCCACAGAGCGAGACTCCATCTCAAAAAAAGAAAAGAAATGTCAGCCAGATAAAAGGAAAATTAGAAAGTGTTGGTATGATATAAAACGATATAAATTTGATCTTTGTCCCATTCTTGTCACAGAGCTTCTAAAACCATACTAATTTCCTGATTGGAGTGTCTTGTTTTCATAATGAGCCCTTTTTGCAGACACTTGAATTTATGCTAATGAGTAGTTTAGGTTGGGGTGCCTAGATACCTCATAGTGGGACTGGTCACCTGAAAGGCTGAGTGATGCCCTGATCACAGAATTTTGACCTGTGATCAGGGGATTAGAGGATTGGAACTTTGCTCCTCACCCACCAATTTCCAGGAAGGGTGGGGGAGGACAGGCTCAAAATTAGGCTTTATAAAAGCTCTTGAACAAGATTGGATTTCCAGGTAACTAAACTCAAGTTTCTGCTGGGAGAATGGCATGCTGAGAGGGTACAAATGCTCAGGCATGTCATCTGTGTCACTTATAATATCCTTTATAATAAACCAGTAAATGTTAAGTATAGTGTTTTCCTGCGCTCTGTGAACTATTCCAACATCGAACCCCAGTTTCAGGAAGGTAGAAATGAATCGAAAGATAGGGCACCCAGTTAGTGTCTGCCGGAAAACTGCTTTGTGCATGTGGAAAAATCCCCATACATCTAGTTAGAAGTGTTCTGTGTTGATTTTGATAGTAGAGGAGAAAGGTTTCTTTTTCCACAGTTGTTTTTTGTTTGTTTGGGGTAGACAGGGTGACAGTGTGTCTCACATTTTAATGTATATAAGAATCACCCCAAGAGCACCCCCAGGTTCTTGAATCTTTAGGTTCACGGTGCAGTTGCGGAATCTGCATCATTAATGGGCTCTCCAGATGATTCTTAGTGTGGGGTGGGAGCCCCACACTGTAACAGTGATAGGTTCATCACCCAGTGCATGCAGCACGTTGATATGCTGAGACACCAGGTTGCAGCAGAGAAGAGGTTTAATCGTAGGGTCACCAAATGAGGAGTTGGGAGGGAACCTCGATCCATCTCCCCAAGGAATTTGAGGTTAGGGTTTTTAAGGTTTTTGGAGTGCCCAAAGTGTAGAGATTTTTGATAAATGGTTGGAACTTGCAGAATGAAGTCATGGACAGTGAGATAATGAAGCTAGGCTGTACTTGTATGCTGATCCATCCCATTCCTCTGTGGGGGGGGTCTTCAAAGTGCTGGATTTGGGGGCCTGACAAACAGCTATCCTTTAGCTATCCTTAAAAGTGTTATGATTCTAATGTCAGAGATCCTAGGAAGAATGGGGGTGCAAATGGTCCGTATCTAGTTCTACATGACAGCAACGAGGAAGTGGGCCAAGGTGCAGCCTGATTAATCATGAGCTATAGCTACATTTCTATACTGAACCTGGCATGTCAGCCCCATGGGGATCATGGCAAGACTTCATGAAACGTTCGGAAAGATGAATTTTCAGAGCAATGATAGGCATCCTTGCAGGTTGTGGTATAGTGGCAGTGGTAGCCAATGCTGAGCTCATGAGAGAAAGAAGCTTCCCTCGGAAGGGAGTTGGGAATAATATCCATAACATAAGAAAAGTTCGTTCCCTCATATGCTGAAGGAAAGAGGTAAAGCATGTGCCAAAAAGACAGGATGCTTTTTTTGCGATGAACCAAAAGGCTGACAGTGGTATCTAGGACTTGGGTTGACTTACTGGAAAGCAAGTTCCTGAAGTGAGTGTGAGTCGTTCTTTGCATTTCAGAGCCATTAGAAGTTCCCAAAGTGAGTGTGAGTTCTTTGCATTCAGAGCCATTTCAGAGCTCTTTTTACTGCAACTGCATAACATATTACCCAGAACTTAGCCACTTAGCAGCCATTTTATTATGCTCACTGATTCTGTGAGTCAGGAATACAGATAGGGCACAGCAGGAATGTCTTGTCTTTGCTCCATGGACTCTGGGCCTTAACTGAGAAGACATGAAGATTGGGGTGTCTTAACGACTGAGGGTTGGAATAACCTCTCACATGTCTGGTACCTGGGCTGGAATGACACAGACTAGTGCTGTTCAGTAGAGCACCCACCAAAACTTCTCCGTTTAGCTTCCTTGCAGCGTGGCAGACTCAGGGTAAGAGGACTTTTTACATGGTAAGGTGCCAAGTGCATATATTCCAGTGAACAAGACAGAAGCTGCATTGTCTTTTATGACCTAGTCTTTTTTTTTTTCTTTTTGAGATGGAGTCTGGCTCCATTGCCCAGGCTGAAGTGCAGTAGTGGCATGATCTGATCTCGGCTCACTGCAGCCTCCACCTCCTGGGTCAAGCGATTCTCCTGCCTCAGCCTCCCAAGTAGCTGTGATTACTGGCGCCCGCCACCATGCCTGGCTAATTTTTTGTATTTTTAGTAGAAATGGGGTTTCACCATGTTGGTTAGGCTGGTCTTGGACTCCTGACCTCAAGTGATAAACCCACCTCAGCCTCCCAAAGTGCTGGGATTACAGGTGTGAGCCACTGCGTCTGGCTACCTAGTGTCACTTCTGACATGCATGATTTGTTGAAGTTACAAACCAGCCAGACTTCAGGAGATGGGGTATTAAACCCCATCCTCTGATAGGAGTAGTGTCACAGAATTTTAACCTATGATTTCAACTTGCCACAAAAAGCAAGAAAGAAAAGTTGAGGATAGCACTGTGAGAAAGTGGGATTTGTTTTCCTTTATTTTTTCTGAAATGTACATTACTAATATTTGTGTAAGTCAACTGGTTAACTTTTCATCAAAATGCAGTCTTGAGAAGTTTGTTTTTCCTCGTTTCAAGTTTTAATCAAGGCTTGTCTATAAGATCACTTTATTCCTGCATCTTCTCAATTGTTTCTTCCTTGTATTTGCCCTTTTCCTTTCCTACGTGGCGAGATTTGGCTTTCCGTTCAAGGATCTTTTTGTGGCCTTTGTCTAGTTTCAGCCTGGTGATAACCACCTTGCTGGGATGAATGCCTGCATGGACAGTTGTGCCATTAGCCTTTTCCTGCTGCACCCTTTCAATGTAGATTACATATTTCTTCCTGTAAACCTGGACTACTTTGCCAATCTGCTGACCTTTATAGTGTCCTCGTACAACCTGAACTTCATCATCGTTTCGGATGGGCATGGATCGCAGGTTGTAATTCTGTCTCAGCTCTTTGGAAAGAGGGGAGGACATAATCTTCCTGCGAATGTGGGAAGGTGCATTGAAATGGCTTTTGTGATTCTTGCTTCGGTTGGAAGTCACAAAGGGAATGTGGGAAGGTGCATTGAAATGGCTTTTGTGATTCTTGCTTCGGTCGAAGTCACAAAGGTATTGAACTTCATTTTGGCAGCTCCCACTTAGGTGATGGCCGCAAAAGGGCAGAAATTTTAACAAAATTTGGATTTTTAAAAAGTTGATATTAGACCCAGTGAAAGAACAAATTTTTTTACTGTTTTGTTTTTCATGATTTGTATATTCTTCAGGACAAGCAGTGGGAAGAGCTCTGTTATCAATGCAATGCTGTGGGATAAAGTTCTCCCTAGTGGGATTGGCCACATAACCAATTGCTTCCTAAGTGTTGAAGGAACCGATGGAGATAAAGCCTATCTTATGACAGAGGGATCAGATGAAAAAAAGAGTGTGAAGGTATGATATTTAACCTTAGCAGCACAATATACCTTAAACAGTATCCTTAACTTAATAACATTTTTATAGATGTCTGCATTGCTGACATCTCGTAAAAAGAACTGTTAATATTCCTTTTTTTTGAAATGGAGTCTTGCTCTGTTGCCCAGGCTGGAGTGCAGTGTGTGATCTCAGCCTACTGAAACCTCTGCCTCCCAGGTTCAAGCGATTCTCCCGCCTCAACCTCCCGAGTAGCTGGGATTTCAGTCACCTGTCACCACGCCCGGCTGATTTTTATTTTTTATTATTTATTTATTTTTACGCCCAGCTAATTTTTGTATTATTTTATTTTTTTAGTATAGATGGAGTTTCACCGTGTTGGCCAGGCTGGTCTCAAACTCCTGACCCTAGGTGATCCACCCACCTCAGCCACCCAAAGTGCTAGGATTACAGGCATGCACCCCCACACCCGGCCAAAAAGAGCTGTTAATATTTCTTTGAAAGCCATCAGTAGGCCGGGCACAGCAGCTCCCACCTGTAATCCCAGCACTTTGGGAGGCCAGGGTGGGCGGGTCACAAGGTCAGGAGTTTGAGACCAGCCTGGCCAATATGGTGGAACCCCATCTCTAGTAAAAGTACAAAAATTAGCCGAGTGTGGTGGCAGGCACCTGTAGTCTCAGCTACTTGGCATGCTGAGGTGGGAGAATCGCTTGAACCCAGTAGGCGAAGGCTGCAGTGAGCCAAGATTGTACCACTTCACTCCAGCCTGGGTGACAGAGCGAGACTCCATCTCAAAAACAACAAAAAAAGCCATCACTAAATATTTTGAGTTTTCTAAATTTTTTTTTTTTTTACTTCATAGCTAAATTAGTGGAAGAATAAAACCTGTCCTAAATTTAAAGGTATATTAGAATTACAAGTGTTTTAAATCTACCCTTCCAGTGAGACTAACATTATTGAAGAGTATTGTTGCCTTTTTAATCTCAAGTTTGTCCCACCTTGGCCCCCACAAACTGCTGAGGTTATAGTCATGTACCACCATGCCTGGCCTCAGATTTGTCTTTTTAAGATAGAATTGTTTAAGAAATTGGCCCCTGGAATCTGTTTTCGATATGTATCTGTGTTTTTAGAAACTGTCTTACCTTAGGAGTTTATAGTAAGCATATTCATACTCATGAATAAGTATTTTATAGATGAGGGCCAATGGCAGTTCCCTACCTTTCCTAAATTTCTCATTTCAGGCCAGGCATGGTGGCTCACCCCTGTAATCCCAGCACTTTGGGAGGCCGAGGAGGGCGGATCATGAGGTCAAGAGTTCGATACCAGCCTGACCAACATGGTGAAACCCCATCTTTTCTAAAAGTACAAAAATTAGCTGGACGTGGTGTCACACGCCTGTAATCCCAGTGCTCAGGAGACTGAGGCAGGAGAATCGCTTGAAATCAGGAGGTGGAAGTCGCAGTGAGCCGAGATTGTGCCTCTGCACTCCAACCTGGGTGACAGAGTAAGACTCTTGTCTCAAAAAAAAAAATTCTCAATTCAGTCCTACTAGACTCCTTCAGCCAAAAAAAGAATAAAAGGGAAAACAAATTAGGATGCAAGCTGTTGACTCTGGACTAAAAGCAGTTGGTTAAGGCACTGTTTCTCATTGCAGTCACTTTCTCTTGAGTCTAAAGATCTCTTTGACAAACACAGAAGTTCAGTGTTGAAGATCCATGTTCTTTTATTTCTTGGTAAACTGTAGGTAAAGTCATGGGTGGTTCTTGTTCTGTGAATTTGCTCTTTGATGTAAATCAGGTGACTTAACCTGTAAGTTTCAGAGTAAGCATACACTTCAGATCACTTATTAGAAAAATGAGATGATGTTTATGAAAATACTATTCAAGGCCGGGCACAGTGGCTCATGCTTGCAATCCTAGCTCTTGAGATGGTCGGATTCCTTGAGACCAGCCTGGGCAATATAGTGAGATCCCATCTCTACAAAAAATACAAAAATTAGCCAAGCATAGTGGCATATGCCTATAGTTCCAGCTACCCAAGTGGCTGAGATAGGAGGATTGCTTGAATCTGGGAGGTTGAGGCTGCAGTGAGCTGTGATCACTCAGCCTGAGCAATGACGCAAGACACTGTCTCGAAAAGAAAAGAAAATCATAATCAAGCTTATAATTAATATAAATGTAGGAATCACTATTGTTTTGTAATTAAGATTTTTAGCAAATTAAATTTCAAACTTCTCGTGGCTTTACAGTCTCAAAGTGCTGTGTTATTTTAAAGAAATCATCTCTCATTTTCCTCATATGTGCTCTTCCAGTCCTGTTCATACTCTTTTCCTCCTTATTTTAGATTCAGGGGTTACATGTACAGGATTATTACATGGATATGGTGTGTGATGCATAGCTCTGGGCTTCATTTGAACCCATCACCCACATAGTGAATGTAGTATTTAACAGTTTTCCAGCTCTTGTCACCTTGTACCTTTACCCCTGTAGTTTCCCAGTGTTTACTGTTCCATCTTTATTTCTGTGTGTACCGAATGTTTAGCACTCAATTTTTTTTTAGAGACAGAGTCTCGCTCTTGTCATCCAGGCTGGAGTGCAGTGGCGCGATCTCAGCTCACTGCAACCTCTGCCTCCTGGGTTCTAGCAATTACCTTGCCTCAGCCTCCTGAGTAGCTGGGACTACAGGCACATGCTGCTACACCTGGCTAATTTTTGTATATGTAGGGTTTCACCATTATTGGTTAGGATGGTCTTGAACTCCTGAGCTCAGGTGATCCATCCCCCTCAGCCTCCCAAAGTGCTGGGATTACAGATGTGAGCCACTGCGCCTGGCCAGCTCTCACTTTAAAGTGAGAACATGCATATTTGGTTTTCTGTTTCTGGGTTAATTGACTTAGGATAATGGCCTGCGGCTCCATCAGTGTTGCAGCAAAGAACATGATTTCATTCCTTTCTGTGGGGTGTTAAAATCTACTTAATTCTAACCGATTTTAATAATGACATTTCCTCTGTATGGCTAAGTCGTACATATTTATTTCAGTAGAACCAGAAAATACAAATAGGCAGAGACTCCAGAACTTAAATACTTCGCAAAACCAGTATCCATATCAGGTGTTGCTTAGGATTCCATTGCTGGAGTTCTTTTCGAGGGAACCATTTTTTCCCCCCCTACTTGGAAATTTAAAAACTCAGGTTCTCAAGATTGCTCACGTTTTATTTCAGAGTTTTACCTTTTATATACCTGTTTTGCTAAAATAAATGTGTTTTAGTTTTTATTGTATTTTATTGCAAGTGGAGTTTATTTTTTTTTCTTTTCCTCCTGCTTTAGACAGTTAATCAACTGGCCCATGCCCTTCACATGGACAAAGACTTGAAAGCTGGCTGTCTTGTACATGTGTTTTGGCCAAAAGCAAAATGTGCCCTCTTGAGGGATGACCTGGTGTTAGTAGACAGGTAAAGTTACATGTGGATTGCATTTTCTCTGAAGGTTATTTAATAGTATAAAACTGCTTAATTTAGCATATGGTATAAAAAATTAAAATATTGAGTTACCACTTTGTTCTCATTAGCTAGATTATGAACAGGTAAGGTATTGGTTTTATTTTATAAGTTACATAAAAGTGTCAGTTTATCATTCTGATTCTATTTCAAGAAATTTTAAGGTTAGCTACTTTTTTTTAAATTTTGTATTTTGAATAAGTGGTTAGGATTTAGAAATTACCTATATCTAGACATCTAGATAACTTTAAATAAATATTTTTCTTAACCAGTAGTGAGTTGGTGCTTGACAAAGTTTCACAAAATAACTTTGTTGGATAGTTTACATTTTTGTTTTTCAGTAATTAATAGAATAGTTTACAGTGCTTTTGATTAATCTACATTTATTATGTGTTGCATTATCATTATTATTATTTTGGAAACGGGGTCTGGGTCTGACCTCCAGGCTGGAGTGCAGTGCTGCGGTGCCACCATCTTGGCTCACTGCAACCTTCGCATCCCAGGCACAACTGATTATCCCACCTCAGCCTCCTGGATAGCTGGGATAACAGGCACACACCAGCAATCACACCTGGCTCCATTTTGGTTTTGATAATGGGTTTTTCTTTTAAATGGAAATGACTGTTTCAAGTAATCAATAGAAACAGAGGAGAAAGGAGATGTTCATGACAAGAAATATGATACAGTTTTTATTTCACTCTCATTAGTCCAGGCACAGATGTTACTACAGAGCTGGATAGCTGGATTGATAAGTTTTGCCTAGATGCTGATGTCTTCGTTTTGGTTGCAAACTCTGAATCAACACTAATGAATACGGTAGGATTTAATCATAATATTGTGTTTCGGTGGTAGGAAATGAAACAGCGTCTGTTTTAATTCTGAAAAGCAAAGGAAATCCAAATCATGGATTAGAAAGAACTTCTAAAAACAGTCATAATGAAGGGGTTTGTGTTTTCATAGAAGCAGAAGGGCTGTTTCTAGTCTTTTCATAGTGTGCAGTTACCTGGATTTCTCTAGTGACATAGGGCTTGATGGCTCTAGCTTCTGGTTATTTGCCAGTCTCATGGAGAATGAGTGCCAGAAATTTTAGGATGCTTATTTAAGTCTCTTGAGTAAAGTATAAACCACTCCTTCTCCCTGCTGTCTTGTCAGGCAAGGCTTTTTATATTTTCAGTATTGCCAGCCATTTCCAGCTTCACCAGAATATACTCTAGGTTTCAGCTTACCTGTGTACAGTTTAAACTGCTGTCAGACTTAGAAGATTATTTATCCAGACTGTCTGGAGGCAGACTCATCTGAAATAAACTTTCCAGAGTTTATTATATTAGATAGGTTATATAGGATAATCTAGATATCTATCTAGATTATCTAATAGAATCTATCTTTGATGTCTAGATTATATTAGATAATCTAATATTCAAAACTATAATATGAGTTTTAAAAATTGTTACCAGTTTTTTCATCTTTGAAAGTTAATACTCATAAAGCACTTTGGAATCCTTTGTCAGTGGTGTTAATTACTGTTGTCTAAATGGTTAAATTTCTCATTAAAATAAAATTTCAATTATAAATGTAAATTATAGTGAATGTACCGTGGGGTGTTTTTTTGCTTTTCAGGAAAAACACTTTTTTCACAAGGTGAATGAGCGGCTTTCCAAGCCTAATATTTTCATTCTCAATAATCGTTGGGATGCCTCTGCATCAGAGCCAGAATACATGGAAGATGTAAGTTATTTTTTTTGTAGGTTTTTAAATACAGTCGTTTTATTTGAGAAAACAATATAGCTTTAAGAATAGAAAATTGTAAGAACTATTTCATGAAAAGAATATAGTTAGAGAAAACCTAAAGTGGGTACGTGATAAAGACCAAGTTATGAAGTTACTTTGAGGGAAAATTGTGTTATACTATGTAGTTATTTCAAAGCTTGAAACTTCTTTTTTAAGTTGTTATTGAAATGTACATAACAGAAAAATACATAAATCATAAATGATCCTTCCAGTTTGGCCTTCTAATGTTCTGGAATGGCAGGTGTGAGCCACCATGCCTGGCCAAATTTTACAAATTTAACACACCTGTGTCAGGATCCAGACCATTCTGAACACCCGAGAGTCCTCCCTCTTACTAACACCCTTCCAAATTCCATTTTATCCTATTTCTTAAGGAGAAATTATCTGCTTATCATGACTTCTGACCCCGTAAATTAATCTTTCTGGTTGTTCAACCTTATGTAACAGAATCACTTAATACCTGCTTTTGCATCTTTTTTTTCATTTAATTGTCATATGTGTCCATATTGTGCATAGCATACTTGTGTTGCATTGCATTCTCATTGCTGTATAGTATTCCATCTGTGACTGTACTACAGTTGATTTGTTCACAGTGATGGGCATTTGGGTTAATTTCCTATATTTAGTTATGAATGCTACTGTGCATATGCTTGTGTATGTCCCTGCCTGTGTGTGTATTTTTGTTAGGTGGTTCTCACTGTGGAGGTTGGAGAGTTTTGACCCCCAGGGGACATTTGGCAGTATCTGAAGATATTTTGTTGTTGTGACAACTGCTCTTTTGTGCTCCTGGCATCTAGTGAGTAGAGGTTAGAGATGGTGTTACACATCCTCTGACACAGAACAGGCCTCCAAACAAACATTGGCCAATCTAAAACGTCAGTAATGCAGAGGTCAGTAAACCATGGGTATAGGTACCTAGAGGCAGAATTGCTGGATTACAAGTTAACAACATGTTTGATTTTAGGAAACATAGCACCAGAGTTCTCCAGAGTGTTTGGTGTCGATTTATTCTCCTGCCAACAGATTGAGTTTCTTGAGATTTGCATCCTCAACTTTGCTTTTTGGCATTTTAGTCACACCAATTATAGAAACTTAAAAAGATTAGAGTATCTGGAATTTGTACTATAAATAATATTTAATTTGCTTGAGACTATTTCTGATTTTAATAGTACTTTAAAATTATTATATGTAGAGGACAAGAAAAAAATAACCTAAACTATCCCATCACTGTTGACATGTTAAATTTTTTGCTTTCATATCTCCCCAATTGGAATTTCGCTTAACATCAAGTTTTACATTCTCCTGTCATTAACTGTTGTCTTACAGTCATGCTCTTTCAATAGGGGTCTCATATAATCATTGGAGGAGTAGGAAGTATCACTCACAAATTATTTTTCCTCAAATATTTCAGCATTCCTATTTAGATTAATTTTTGCAAGTCTTAACTTAGAGCTATCTTATCATAGCCATAATGCTAAAGACTAGTACTAAACCCTAAATTCTAACCCTTAATCTGCACTTCAGTGCCCAGGTGGTCATCTTAAACCCAACATTGCAATCCTAATGCCTGGTTAATGCATTCTCCCAGACCTTAACTCAGCAGGGATTTTTTTGTTTTGTTTTGTTTTGTTTTGAGATGGAGTCTTGCTCTGTCACCCAGGCGGGAGTACAATGGCGTGATCCCAGCTCACTGCAACCTCCACCTTCCAGGTTCAAGCAGTTTTCCTGCCTCAGCCTCCTCTGGAGTAGCTGGGATCACAGACTCATGCCACCACACCCAGCTGATTTTTGTGTTTTGTTAGAAACAGGGTTTTGCTATGTTGGCCAGGCTGGTCTTGAACTCTTGACCTCAGATGATCAGCCTGCCTTGGCCTCCAAAAGTGCTGGGATTGCAGGCATAAGTCACATCGCTCAGCAGAATTTTAAGTGAATGTTCGAAAGACAGAATTGTTAAGAGAAAGATTTTCTGTCATCAAGTATCAAACTTCATTTATTAGAATTTCTTGATGTCGTTAGTTATATGGTAACTTTTATTATTGCAGTGTAAATGAAGTTAGTATAGGCCTGTAGTCATTGGTTATATTTGTTTGAATTATTAGAATTCTTTTAATACCCTTTTCTCTGTAGGTACGCAGACAGCACATGGAAAGATGCCTACATTTCTTGGTGGAGGAGCTCAAAGTTGTAAATGCTTTGGAAGCACAGAATCGTATCTTCTTTGTTTCAGCAAAGGAAGTTCTTAGTGCTAGAAAGCAAAAAGCACAGGGGATGCCAGAAGGTGGTATGCACTGATTATGGTTTTCCTTTTTAAATATAAAAATATTTAAAATTGACTGGGCGTGGTGGCTCACATCTGTAATCCCAGCACTTTGGGAGGCCCTGGCAGGCGGAACATGAGGTCAGGAGTTTGAGACCAGCCTGGCCATCATGGTGAAACCTCATCTCTACTAAAAATACAAAAATTAGACAGGCGTGGTGGCGTGGGTCTGTAATCCCGGCTACTTGGGAGGCTAAGGCAGAAACACTGCTTGAGGTGGAGGTTGCAGTGAGCCATTGCACTCCAGCTCTGGGCGACACAGCAAGACTCCATCTCTGAAAAAAGAAAAAAAATATTTTCTTTTGAAAAAGAAAAATTTAAGGTTATAAAATCTGTAGCATGCCAGAAAATATATCTTGCTATATACTAGGTTTTTAAATCTTTGCCTGTACATTACAGGTGGGGCAATTGCTGAAGGATTTCAGGCAAGATTACAGGAATTTCAGAATTTTGAACAAATCTTTGAGGTAGGAATTTTATGAATATATTGCCTAATACTAAACTCTTTCCTTGGTTGGAAAAGCATAATCTTCTATTTTTATCATTTGCCGTTGTCAATAACTTTTGCTGTTATTTAGTTTAGTTACTGACACAGCCAGTAAAACGTGGAAAGTCTGAAGAAAGGAAGCCCCTGCAAAATGATTTGTAAGAATTGAGAATTAATTTCTTCCTTATTCTTATTTTTTATGCACACACACACACACACACACACACACACAAACAAGAAACTGTGTTCCAATATTGCTGTGTTGTACAATGAATGAAATTCTCCATTCAATAATTTGGAACAAGAGCAAACAAATGTAATTGTTGTTTGAATGGATAATAGAGCAAAGTAAACATTATCCTTTTTCTTTGTGCCACATGACTAATAGAAGTATAGAGAACATGATTAATGACATTTGACAAAATTTTATTACATTTATTAATTGTATTGCCCCATGTCCATTCTCCATATTTTGTGCCAAACATCCGAAATTAATAATTGAGTGAAAAAGAGCTTCAGCATTTTCAGAATCTTGTAGGAAACTCCTGAAGTGCCTGAGTGGTAGATGGGGAGGGAGGCTAGTTTCTTACATTGTAGTATATGTGCTTTTTATTTAGAGACATTAAAACACCCTACATTTGATTGGAAAATTCTTTTAGATGTTAACCTTCTGAACTCCTGTTTTGCCCTATATAATTCGTACCACTTTCCCACTTAGGAATGAACATGATGACGTCAGCATTGAAGAAACCTCATTCTGTAATTATTCTTTCTTCTAAGTAGTAGCCACCTTAATAGAGGGGACATGAATGTTGAGTGTACTTGGCAGGATTTTTAAAATAAATTTGCTTACTATCTCTCATCTTAAATTTGGTGAGAGAAAAAGTTTATTAGACAGACGAAGACAAACTGGAAGAAAGCAAAACCACTGCCAGCTATCTCGGTAAGATCTCTAATTGTTCAGAGGCTCCTGGAATATCAGTAGTTGTCCTCGAAGCCAAGCCATAAGATATGTGAAGTCCTGGTTACTCAAAGACCATTGTTTGTTTTCCTTCTCCTTTTGCTTTCACCGAAGGATTGATGTTCTCCTCACCTTTTTTTTCTCTTAAAGAAATGGGATCTCCCTCTGTTACCCAGGCTGGAGTGCAGTGGCACAGTCATAGCGCTTTTGAGCCTCAAACTTACGGACTCAAATGATCCTTACACCTTGTCTTCCTCTCCTCACTGTTACCAGATATTTCATTCATGGGGAAAATATGTAGGGAGATGATCTGTTCTATGACCTTGTCTTTATTTATTTATTGACCTTTATATATGTGTGTTTTATGTATGTTTATCATTGATTTCTTCTATCAAATTATACATTTGGTAGAGTATATAATTGTGTAATGTTCTATCACACATTTACACCGTTTCCGTATTGGTTCATGGTATAGCTTGTGCTTCCCCAGAATATCTCCATGAGGAGGTGGGAATGTAAGATAAAAGATATGCTGTAAGGCATTGGTTTGTAAGCCTGGCCAATCATCAGAATCGCATGAGGTGCTGTAGAGAACCGTAGGCTCCTGACGTGTCCTATCCCCAACCCCAGATGGGGTGGGGTGGGGGTGGGTTGCGGTGGGTCTAGGAATCTATATACATATATATTCAAAGCTTCCCAAGTGATTGCAGTAATCAGCACACTTAGGAACTATTCTTTTCAAACGTTTTTAGAGGAAACTTGTCAGTTTATGTTTTATTCTAATGGTCCACTTGGGATTCTAAAATTTATGTATGGAAAAAATTGCTTATGAGCAGTAACTTTTTTTGGAATGTCCAGCTTTAAGTTTGAAAATTAAGTCTAAAATATCTAAAATGAGAATCAGTTAAAAATTACTTGTGTTTATCTAAACAAATAATCAGCTGGGCAAAAAAATATTACATCTGAATGTATTACAAAGAGACAAAACATTTTTTGATGATTAATTACATTGAAAGTTTTAGTCAGCTTTATTCCAAAACTGATATTTGTTACTACTTAAAAACCAGTTTTGGTAATTCCCGATTTCCTTCCTAGAAGTTGATGTATTTCCGAAAATTTACAATTTAGTAGCATAAAATTGTTTTGAATCTGTTTCACTTCCATATTTAAATATGAATGTATATCTACATAAACACACACACACACACACACACACACACACACACACACACACACACACACACCCTCCCTGACCCTTAATTTGGTTTGCCAGTGATTTGCCATCCAAATACCCAGCCCCAGCTTTTATGTGATTTATCACTTAGTAAATATGATTTTGGGGTTGTATTCACTAAGTTCTGTGTTTAACCTTCTTTGCTTTGAAAATGCGTTGGTTTTTGCTTATTGTTCTTTAAGATTCAGGATTGTGAATTTGTGAGTTCAGCGTATCCCAGCGTTTTCAGTACTAGTTTAGTTTTTGTTTTTTGTTTTTTTTGTTTCTGATTATAATTTTTGGCATTTCCTTATCAGTATAAGAGTTTTTAAAATTCAAGTATTTTGATTCATTTTATCTAATCTTTGGTTATAATTTCTTGGTTTCTTTATGTTGTGGTCACATAATGTGGCTTTTATACACATTTTCTCTGTGTTTTGGGGATTTGCTTATTTTTCTTTGTGGTCTTGCAAGATTTTCTGTGAAAAGAAAAACTGTGTTGAAGTTCATCATTTTTATCAATCAATCTGACCTTTGTCAGTCATGGAGTTCTTTAGATTCATTTGGTTAAAACAGAGCTAAGTATTTTAAACATTTAGAATACTAAGTTAAACAGGCTTGAAAATTAACCTGAGTTAAAGCAATTAAGAAAATCAACATTAGCCTGGGCGTTGGTGGCTCATGCAACCTTGGAGGCTCCACTGTGCTCCAGCTGGGGCGACACAGTGAGACTCTGTCTCTTTTCTTTAAAAAAAAAAAGGAAGAAAGGAAAATCAATGTTAGTCTATTAATACATTTTCTTATTGTTTTAAAACTGGATTTGGAAAGTTTCACAATGCATTTGGACTGCATTGTTCTAAGGCATATTAGAAATCCAGATTTCTTTTGCCCAGATGATATTTCACCATTAATTCTTACTAGTTTGCATTGTATGATGGGAGATAGATGTATAAAAATAACTTATTTAACATGTCAGTGTATTTTTTATAATGGACATTCCTGGATGACAGGTGAAATTTGAACATGAACTGTTTGTTAGTTAATAGTGTTGTCTCAGTGGTAAATATCCTGAATACAGTTGTTTCGTGTTTGTGCAGATGAAGTTCCCTTTCTTAGAAAACAAGTATTGATGTATTTAATAATAAGCTTTTGATGCAGTAATGACCTGTAAAAATGTTCCGGAAGGAAAATGATACATAAGTATATATAAAAATGTGTGCCTCTATATATATGTGGGAGCATACATTTTTAACATATGTATGTATGCCATCACACAGGAGAGTTAGTATGGAGTGTGTGTATGGAGAGAGGAGAAAAGTAAAGGAAAGGGGCTGAATGTTAATATTTGATATATGTAGATGAAAGGTATATCTTTTGTACTTTCTTATTGAAAATATGTCAAAATAAGTTGGCAGTGATAAATACCATGTTGTTAAGTGTTTGTAGGGTCTATTTTCAAGGGAAATTGACAAGTTTGTTGGTTTTAAGTACATGTATAAATATTAATATTAATGTATGATTAGAGTTTCTGATAAGTCTGGGAACTGCTGCATACTATATATGTTCCACACAGAGATTTATTAGTATATTAAGGATGCCGAGAAATAACTTATAAGGGAAACTTTATTTAAATTAACACTTCTCCTACTTATTTGGAATAGAATGTTCTTTTATCAAGGTACCTCTTGATTTCCTACAGCTCAATGGAACACTAGTCTGGGATACTTTTTAATTAGAAGATTGCTTATTTTCTTCTCTATACTTATTCATTATTATATATTTTTTAATCAGACAGTAACATATTGCCTAATAACTTTTGGGCATCTTTTCTGTCTGGTCTAGCTCTAACACTGTGCTGTTATCTACAAATTTGGAACTTCATTGCTGATATCTAGATCTGCTTCATCGAGGAATATAGACTTTATTTTAATTTTTTTCCTTTTAAAAATATTTTTTATGCTTTTTTTTTGCAGAAGTTAATTTGACACATTTATGAGGCATTTAAAATAAAAGCAAGGCATTCTTTTAGTTATTAAAAAATAAGTAGTTTACAAATGTTCACTATTGTGTAATTATTGGTGATTTTAAAGAAGAAAACATCCAGGAATGTTTTATCTTTAGTTGTGTATGGAACAGGAATACTATTACTTCCTACATTAATCCTTTCAAAGTTAATGAAAATGAGTGATGCCTAAATGAGCTTCGCCATGGGCAAAAGTGAAGCTAGGCAGTGCAAGAAAGTAATGGCTTCAGAGGTTGACTAAATGAATTAACCCTTATGTGCCCTATAGCTAAATAATGTTTTGTTTTCTGTACTTCAAATAAAATGCTGAAGAGGGGATCTAAAATGGCAAAAGAGATTATAGGCTTTCTAAGTGTGCAAATAATTTCAGACACATGAAGGCTAAGCATAGGTCATAAATAGGACATTGTAGCATGCTAATGATTTCAGGACAACAAATGTAGCACTAGAGTATTATGTAAATTCCTTTTGAAGCTTAAAAGCCATTTATTTTGACAAAGGAAGGACAGTAATGAACTTCAGGAAGCAATTACCACAGTTTGTCTTAGCTAAATATATAATGGTTCAAGCCAATGAATTCATTGGAGTATCAGAATTAATATATCCCTAATTTTTAGAAATGTATCATAGAAAATAAACATGTCTATTATAAAACATCTGTAGTAGTTTCTGTGCTGTATTCCAGTGTAGAATTTGACTAAGAAGTAAAAATGATATAAGACAAATTGCAATATAACAATTTTATAAACTTTAAATGATAAATGATAGTAAATATATGTTTGTAGGATGGGTGCAGTGGCTCACTCTTGTAATCCTAGCACTTTGGGAGACCGAGGTAGGCAGGTGATTTGAGGTCAGGAGTTGGAGACCAGCCTGGCCAACATTACAAAACCTCGTCTCTACTAAAAATGCAAAATTAGCCAGGCATGGTGGTGCATGCCTGTAATTCCAGCTACTTGGGAGGCTGAAGTAAGAAAATCACTTGAACCTGGGCCATGGAGGTTGCAGTGAGCTGAAATCATGCCATTGCACTGTAGCTTGGGTGACAGTGTGAGACTGTCTCCAAAAAAAAAAAAATATATATATATATATTTTTATATTAGATAACAAGTATTCCATATATTGAAAATTGAAACAAAAATGTTACAAATGTATCCATTGATATGTGTGATGCATTATGATTTTTTTTCATTTAAATAGACAACTGGTATAAAACACTGATTTTTACTGTTAATGAGTTGTGAGCTGGAGTTAGCTTGAAGGTGAAACAGATGAGACAGGGCATGATCCAGGCCTTTGGGTATACACTATATTGTAATGAAAGTAATTACAATTATCTCCTAAATAACTGCAAATATTTTTCTATAAACAATTGAAGATGTTGCATTGTTGTTAAATGTTAGCTTTCAAATTCTTCACATTTTAACCCAATGAAGTTCTTTTTAACAAACTTACAGGAATCATTGTATCATTTAGCTATGTTTTAAAATAAGGAATTGTTCTAATTCACATCTTAAGAACTTTACTAGGTTATATCTATTGCAAGTATGAGAAGAATCTAGATAGATGGACTTGAATTGGATTAAAGGTGGTCTAGATAAACTTAGTAATTCTAATGAGGAAATCTGTTAACGTTGAAAATAGTACCCTGTTTATTTTTTTTTAATGTTAGAGTCAAACCATTGCACATTACTGTGTAAAAATACACAAAGATGTTAACTTGCTGCTAAAGCCCTTTTTACTTTTGAATCTTTGTATTTCTTTCATCTTTGTAATTTTAAGTTGTGCTTTTATCACTCATTTATTTTCTGTTTCTGTTTGGGTTAAAGTTACAAACAGCAAGGTTTTGTGTTTAAATTCCTGAAAATGTTGAGACGGAATTACAGTAATGTGTTATGGCTTGGGCCCCTCGCAGGAGTGTATCTCGCAATCAGCAGTGAAAACAAAGTTTGAACAGCACACTATCAGAGCTAAACAGATACTAGCCACTGTGAAAAACATAATGGATTCAATAAACGTGGCAGCTGAAGAGAAAAGGTACGAGTTCATTTTGTTGCAACATAAAAATGTTAGTTTTTTTGTCAGACTTTTGTTAAGACTGAGGTTTTAAATTGTACTATAAATACTTCTTACACTGAAATCAACCTTGTGTGTTTAACTCATGCCTACTTGTGTATTTTTAAGTGAATATTTGAAAGTGTTTATACTTATTCTGCAACCTTGCATACATCATTTATATTCCCTGGACCCCACTATTCCCGTGTATGAATTGTGATTTTTAAAATGTTTTGTGGCTTTAAAATATCTTTAAAGCAGTGGAAGAAACATTTCTTCAAGCAGATTTTTATGAAGAAGTCCAAAACAGGTGATCCTCTGTGCATTCAGCCCACAGCCCATTTTCTGATATAGTCATACGTCGGTATTTTGAAATCACTATTTTATACTAGTTATGTTTATTTGTTTATTGCCTGATGAACAAACAAGGTGATGCTACCTGCCAACCAGAAAGTTGATTTGGTAAGCAGTACCCTTCATGATACACTGTACTGCATTATTTTATACTATTTGTTACCGTGTAAAGGTGGCAATGAATACATGAAAATACCAACGTTATCAATACAAAGTATAATTCTCACAAACTTGGTGTGCTTGAAACAAAGATTGTGATGTTATTAGATGTGACAAAAGTAATGATATTAAGCCTCAATAGGACCTTGAGTGGACTTAAGCCAGTTGAAGGAAACATAAAATCATCAAAGTTTAAGTCCAAGATGACATAACATTGGAATGTTAAATGTATTTGCTGTTGCTGGGAACAAAAACCCCCTCATATCCCATCTAAGTCTGTTGCTTGATAATGGTACTTTCTTAGGAATGAATGATGTTCAAATGAAGAGAACTGCCAGCATATCAAACGCAAGGATCAGAACCCTGAGTCTGAACTCAGCCCCTCTGTAGAGCCTCCGTATCACCTCTGTTTAATGAGATTGTGCTGTTACAGAAGTTTCTTCTAGCTCAGTTGCTTTGATGTAGTACCCAAATTTTGGTCTGTAAGATTGACTTAATTAGTAGTAATTTTTAAAGACATAGGACATTGAACAAAGTATAGCACAAAGAAGATGTGATTTGAGGATTGTATAATCATAAAGTCCTGAGACCAAAGAGCCAGACAATAAATATTCTAGGCTCTATAGGCCATAAAGTCTCTTGGAGCTACTCACTGTTACAGTTTTAGAGCAGAAGCAGCCATAGATAGAAAATAGGTAAATGAATGGGCGTGGCTCTGTTTCAAGAAAACTTTTAACAAAAGCTGGCAGCTGCCTGGATTTGGGTTGTAAGGTGCCATTTGCTGACCCCTGCTTATTAACTAAAGTCAGTATTACATTCTATTTTGCCTGTTCATATCTATGAAATAGTGTTTGAAGACTTAGAATTCTTATTAATCTTTCCTGGGGTTCATGTGCCACATGGGCAGAGAAACTTAGCTTATATCAAACCATCTATATAAAGTATTTTATAAGTGAAATATTACTTGAATCCTTTCAGATGTTACAAGTTTTTTTTTTTTTCTTGAGTCATGCTGTTAGATGGTTCAATACATGAATGAGTCCCATGCTGAAATGCTTTAGGACTTCAGTATACCCTGAATTTTGATTACTCTTTGTACTGTAATAGGGCTTATTCCGTGGAAGAGAGGGAAGACCAGATTGATAGACTGGACTTTATCCGAAACCAGATGAACCTTTTAACACTGGAAGTTAAGAGAAAAATCAAGGAGGTCACTGAGGAGGTGGCAAACAAAGTGGGTAACAGCAGCTTCGTGATGAAAATTATTTGGGTGGAAATTGTTTTTGATAATGCTAAAAATGTTATTCTTGTTCCTTTAAAAGAATGTTTTAGGATTTTTTCATTTAATTTTTTTGAGTGAGTGATAATCTTGTTTAACTCTGACTTTTTCATATTTTCAGGTTTCATGTGCAATGACAGATGAAATTTGTCGACTGTCTGTTTTGGTTGATGAATTTTGTTCAGAGTTTCATCCTACTCCAGATGTACTAAAAATATATAAAAGTGTAAGTTAAAAGTATTCAGAGACAGTTTTTTCTTCTATACCCTCATTTATTTTATTTAATGGTTTGGCATTTTAGTGTCTTCATGGCAATCAGTACAAAATGATACTGTTATATCTCGTGCCCTCTGGTAATAAATGTATCTTGTATAAAAAGTACATAGAAAATTTATACTTAGAATGAGATTAAGATCATTTTAGGACCAGACACAGTGGCTCATGCCTGTAATCTCAAAACTTTGGGAGGTGGAGGCAGGAGGATCACTTGGGCCCAGGAGTTTGAGACCAGTCTGGGCAACATAGTTTACTCTGATCTACAAAAAATGAAGTTAGCTGAGCGTGGTGGCACGTTCCTATAGTCCCAGTTACTCGGGAGTCTGAGGCAGGAGGATCACTTATACCCAGGAGGTGGAGGCTACAGTGAATCAAGATCAAAGGTCTCCAGCCTGGGCAACAAAGCAAGACCCTGTCTCAAAAAAAAAAAAATCAAAAAGACCATTTTAGCATTTATTGCATTTTTTATGTCTTTATAAAAACTACATGCTTTCTGGACAAAAATAATATGGATATTTACCATTGTTAATAGGAATTAAATAAGCACATAGAGGACAGGATGGGAAGAAAGTTGGCTGATCGATGCACCGATGAAGTAAACGCCTTAGTGCTTCAGTCCCAGGAAGAAATTATTGGTAATATTTATGGCTACAAGGTCGTGTCTGGTTTCTTTTTTCTTTCATAACTCTGGTAAAGAGCTTATTTTCCTTTAGACATTCCATTGAAGGTAAAACATTTACTATCTTTCTTAAAATAAGTGTTGTAATTTTGTTCTTTCTAGAAAATTTGAAGCCATTACTTCCAGCTGGTATACAGGATAAACTACATACACTGATCTCTTGCAAGAAATTTGATCTCAGTTATAATCTAAATTACCACAAGTTATGTTCAGATTTTCAAGAGGATATTGTATTTCATTTTTCCCTGGGCTGGTCTTCCCTTGTACATCGGTTTTTGGGCCCTAGAAATGCTCAAAGGGTGCTTCTAGGATTATCAGAGCCTATCTTTCAGGTATGTATCTTTGAATCTACCAATTAAGACTCTCCTTTATTATTTTGTTTATGTGATTTTTCTATAATAAAACTAGCTTTACAAAATCTGCATATTTAAAAGCTAGTAGTCTCTTAGAGCCGTTTCTGAGGTAGATATTAGTTTGAGCATCCCTAATCTGAAACTCCTTAAAGGTCCAAAATAAAAAACTTTTGAGTACGATGACACCACAGATGGAAAATTCCACAAAGGACCTCATAGGAGGTCATAGTAAAAACGCAGGCACACACACACAGTTTATTCAGTGTCCTTAAGGGAAAAAAGACTCAAGCTGCCGTATATCTTTTCCACACATGCCCAAATTCCCCCACACAAGCACATCTCTGAAGGGTACTAAAATGGTACGTGTGCAGGCCCAGTGTGCCAACAGCAGGCTGCTTGTGGTGCCCTACATGGAGCAAGACCTTTGTGCATCACTCGCTGTGGGCTTTTTACTCTCTTTTCTCTGGTGAAAGATGCTGTTTACAATGATTTTTTTGTTTTTTTGGGGGGATGGGGTGGGTGGAGACCGAGTCTCCCTCTGTGGCTCCAGCTGGAGTGCAGAGGTGTGATCTTGACTCACTGCAACCTCCACCTCCCAGGTTCAAGCAGTTCTGCCTCAGCCTCCTGAGAAGCTGGGATTATAAGTGCTCACCACCATGCCCAGCTAATTTTTGTATTTTTAGTAGAGATGGGGTTTTCACCATGTTGGCCAGACTGGTCTCAAACTCCTGGCCTCAAGTGATCCACCTGCCTCAGCCTCCCAAAGTACTGGGATTACAGGCATGAGCCACCCCACCTAGCCTGTTTAAAATGTTTATGAGGCCTGCAGATACCCTTGTGGGTAACATTGATAAGAAAAAGAAGAGGCATTTATTTTTATTTATAGCACAAAAATATAAGCTGTTGGAAAAACTAGACAACAGTATAAGTGAGAAACTTCTTACAGAATAATAATGTTGGAATGAGCACTATATATGACCTAAAAGAAGAGTTTTTCTAAACTGTTGACATTCCATGCTGAAAGTGATGAACAGAAGTTAATGAAAAAAAAAAACAAAAACAAAGTTAAAAGTGAAGATCTTGATCGTGTATTGAAATATGGATCTATCCATCAGCATTGCAGTGAACATGTGCCACTTAAGGCCATGCTGATCAGGAAAAAAGCAAAGATCTATGAAAAGGAACTGAAAATCAGAGGGAACTGTGAATATTCAGTAGGCTGGTTAGAGATATTTAAGATAAGATAGCATTAACTTTTTTAAAGGTGTGTGGTGGTAAAGTATCTTGATCACAAAGCAGAGGAGATATTTGTTGATGAATTTGCCAAGATTGTCTCTGATGAAAATCTGACTTCAGAACCAGTCTGTAATGCCGATGAAACATCACTATTTTGCCATTATTGACCCAGAAAGACACTGACCACAGCTGAGGAGGCAGCCCCTACAGGAATTGAGTATGCAAAGAACAGAATAACTTGCTGAGATGTGCTAATGCAGCAGGCATAAATGTGAACTTACTGTGGTAGGCAAAAGCTTGTGTCCTCACTGTTTTAAAGGAATGAATTTCTTTTTTTTTTGGAGACAGTTTTGCTCTGTTGCCAGGTGCCAGGCTGGAGTGCAGTAGTGCAATCTCGGCTCCCTGCATCCTCCACCTCACAGGTTCAAGCAATTCTCCTGCCTCAGCCTCCCAAGTAGCTGGGACTACAGGTGTACGCCACCATGCCCAGCTAATTTTTGTATTTTTCAGTAGAGACGGTTTCACCATGTTGGTCAGGATGGTCTCAATCTCCTGACCTCATGATCCGCCCTCCTTGGCCTCCCAAAGTGCTGGGATTACAGGGGTGGGCCACCATGCCCAGCCTGGGAATGAATTTCTTACTAGTCCTTATTGTACTAACAAAAAGACATGGATCCCTCGGGGACATCTTTTCTGACTGGTTTCACAAACATTTTATACCAGCAGCTCTTGTGTACTTACCTGGAGGCTACGCCAGGTGATGACTGCAAGGTTTTGTGATTCCTTGACTACTATTCTGCTTATCCTCTGGCTGAAATTCTCATTTCAAAAATAGTGTTTCATTATTTCAACCTGTGACCAGGGTGTTCTAAGATGAGTGAGAAGTAACTATAAAAACATCTTGGGGCCGGGCGCGGTGGCTCAAGCCTGTAATCCAAGCACTTTGGGAGGCTGAGGCGGGTGGATCACGAGGTCAAGAGATTGAGACCATCCTGGTCAACATGGTGAAACTCCGTCTCTACTAAAAATACAAAAATTAGCTGGGCGTGGTGGCGCATGCCTGTAATCCCAGCTACTCAGGAGGCTGAGGCAGGAGAATTGCCTGAACCCAGGAGGCAGAGGTTGCCACGAGCCGAGATCGCGCCATTGCACTCCAGCCTGGGTAACGAGCAAAACTCTGTCTCAAAAAAAAAAAAAAACCTTCTTGGGCAGCATGCTAGCAGCAGTGAACCTGAGGCATGGGTGTGGAAGCTTTTCAGGAGTTTAGGATGAAGGATGCTGTATATGCCAGCACTTGGAACATAGTGACTCAGTTGTGTATGCCTGCAGCCTCTGCCTGTGACTACATTTAGTGATGATGAGGAGCAAATGCATGACTTTGAAGTATGTCAAGTGAGAAAAAAGTGATGCCTGACTTCCTTACTTATGCAAAAAATGATATCTTCAGAGTCCAGCTGTAAACTGGAAGAAGAGTATATCAAAGAAGTGTTTAACATTGATCATGAGGTTTCAGTTGCTGAATAATCATTCATTAACTGATTTTAACTGATGGCAAAAGAGCTAAAATGCTTCTAAAGCAAGGTGATGATGATGATGGTGATAATGAAGATGTCATTAACTCTGCACCTATAGGCAACATGGTGATGGGCTGACTGAAGCACTAGAACAGTGTGCATTCATAACAGAACAAGAAATAGGTTTATAAAATCAAGGAGAGACTTCCTCGAAAACCATTGTGAATGAGGCAAGTAGGTGGTACTGCAGGAAGCATTATCAAAGGCCATTCAGCACAATGTCTTATGCCTGCAGAACCTACTTCTTGGTCCCTCAGCTGCTTCCGATGTTTCTTCTCACCTAACAAAGTACAGTATTCAGTAACTTTTTAATCAAAACAGCATTGTAAGAGCCAATGCAGCAGACTTGAAAGCCTGCCATTGTTGCTGTTAAACAGCTGATGCCGGTGTTCTGGTGATGCAACTGTGCTTAGTTTGAATGTTATTTTTTCACTATTAATAATGGTGTGTCTTATATTTTAACAAATTCCTCTGTGTGAATAGGTGTAAGAAAATGATTGCTTGTCAGTAGCATATAAATTCCATCAAGAATGATAGTGACGCCGAATAGCCACAATGTTCACATGGGTGGCTGACATAGCAACACTGTGTTCGCTAATGAGTCAGTGTACACAACCTTTGTTTCATGCACAAAATTATTCAAACATTGGATAAAATCACCTCAGGCTATGCAGATAACGTATATGAAACAAGTGAATTTTATGTTTAGATTTGGGTGCCACCCTCAAGATAGCTTGATATATGTGTGAAAATATTCAGAAATCCTAAAAAATCTGAAATCTGAAAGACGTCTGGTCCCAAGCATTCTGGATGAGGGACACTGGATAAGGGAAAGCCAGTCCTCAAGCTTCCGTCCAGTACTGTTGTTGTGGTGCTACATTCAGTTTTGAAAATTTTCTGTTTTCTTAAAAGATTTGGTTTTCACATTTCAAATAAATTAGAATAAATACAAGCATTTTAAAAGAAAAACCTTTAAAAATTTATCAATTCAGTAATTTTTTAGAAAATTTGCGAAACTGTAAAACCATCACCACAATCCAGTTTTAGAACATGATTATCATCCCAAAGCCTTTTTTGTCATTTGTAGTCAGCCATGATTTCCACCTCTAGCCCACCACTAATCTGCCTTCTCTTTATGGATTTGTCCTTTCTGGACATTTCCTATAAATGCACTCGTATAAAATGTGGCCTTATGTGACTGATTTCTTTCACTTAGTATAATGTTTTCAAGGTAGGGTTTATCTTGATGGCATCAGTGTTGTAGGCTGTATCAGTACCTCATTTCTTGTTTTGGCTGAGGAATATTCCATTATAGATACAACACTGTCCATTCTTTAGTTGGTGGAGATTAGGGTAGTTTGTACTTTTTGGCTCTTATGAATAATGCTGCTGTAAAGAGTCATGTTTTTTATGTGGACATGTGTTTTCATTTCTCTTGAGTATCTACTTAGGTTCTAGTGGGTATAGAGTGCTGTTTCATTGTAGGTTTGATTTGCATTTCCCTAATGATCGATGATTTTAAACATCTTTTTGTGTGCTAATTAGCCATTTGTGTGCTAGTTTTCTTTTGTGAAAAGTCTAGACAGAGCTTTTACCTATTTTTAGATTACTTGGGTCTTGTAGGGTTGCAGGATTTCTTTGCATATTCTGGATCAAGTCCTTTCTCACGTATATGATTTCCAAATGTTTTTTATTTGTTGTTTTATTTTTTGAGACAGGGACTTGCTTTGCCCAGGCTGGAGTATAGTGGCGTGATTGCAGTTCACTGCAGCCTCTGCTTCCAAGGAGCTGGGACCACAGGCGTTTGCCACCACACCTAGCTAACTTAAGAAAAAGTTTTGTAGACACAGGGTCTCACTGTGCTGCGCAGGCTGGTTTCAAACTCCTGGCAGGCTGGTTTCAAACTCCTGGTCCCAAGCTATCCTCCTGCTGTGGCCTCTGAAAGTGCTGGGACTACAGGCATAAGCCACCGTGCAGCCCCAAATATTTCTCTGTCTGTGGCTGTGCATTTTGAAGTTTAGTAAGTGTTTCTTTTGAAGTCCTTTTTGTTTTTTGGTTTATCTTTTGTTGCTTCAAGGATTGTGCTTTTGTTGTTTTTTTTAAACTTAGTTTGTTCCTCTTGAGAGTTGAGGGCCTTCTATTACATTTAGACCCCATCGTTTGTTATGAAAATTTATTATTGTTCATATCACTGGTCCATATTGTAGACAGATTTTCAAATTATTTTATTTTCTACATATATGTATGGTATCCTCTTCATTTAGGGTGATTTTTTTCTCCCATAGATTTGCTACTGTACTTGTAAAGAGTTTTATGAAGGTAAGTTTAATTTGTAGTTGGTTAAGTGTAATAACCTTTTTGTTTTTGGCAGCTCCCTAGATCTTTAGCTTCTACTCCCACTGCTCCTCCCAGTCCAGCAGTGCCAGATAATGCATCACAGGAGGAACTCATGATTACGTTACTAACAGCATTGGCTTCTCTTACATCTAGAACTTCTATGGGCATCATTATTGTTGGAGGAGTGGTAAGAAACATTTCTTTTAGTATAATTAAAATGGAAATATTTGCAAAGCTCACTACTAGAAGATCACAAAAGAAAAGGTATATGATGTTCTGTTTGTAGGATCTGTAAATAATAGGAAAATTTGCAGGTTAAAAGTAGTGAATCGGCTGGGCACGGTGGCTCATGCCTGTAATCCCAGCACTTTGGGAGGCCGAGGCGGGTGGATCACGAGGTCAAGAGATCGAGACCATCCTGGTCAACATGGTGAAACCCCGTCTACTAAAAATGCTAAAAATTAGCTGGGCACGGTGACGCATGCCTGTAATCCCAGCTACTCAGGAGGCTGAGGCAGGAGAATTGCCTGAACCCAGGAGACAGAGGTTGCAGTGAGCCAAGTTCACGCCATTGCACTCCAGCCTGGGTAACAAGAGCGAAACTCTCAAAAAAAAAAAAAAAAAAAAAGGAGTGAATCATCACAAGTCTTACATTTTTAAAAATACATCTTACATCTTTAGGAATGAACCATCACCAACTAGCTGGTCTTTAATAGTTCCTAAGCATTTTCACATCACGGCACATAAAGAAACATTTGTGCACTGGGTAATAAGAAAACCCCAGGTGCCTTATCCAGCCTTCTCTGAATATTAAGGGGATCTGTCTTAAATATTGTTTTTAGAAGTAGTTCTTATATGTTTTCAAAAAAATATTTATGTCATTAGCAGCATAGATATACTTGTTTTGGTTTTTGAAATGACCTAAAATATTTAACATTGTTTTATTTTTGAGATATGATTGAATCAGATTGTCAGATCTGGCAGCTTACAAAGCTCTTGCTTATTTGTGTGCTGATCCCTTTCAAGCCTGATTGATTTCTGGTAACTTCACATTTTCTCAGAGAAGGAATCTACGTTTTTAGAAAATGTTTCTAACTCAAAGATCTATAGGGTACTAAAATGCTTTTAAATATTCTCTCCAAAGTAGTGTTTTTCCTTCTCAGACTAAGCTGTTACTTTATCTTACAGATTTGGAAAACTATAGGCTGGAAACTCATATCTGTTTCATTAACTATGTATGGAGCTTTGTATCTTTATGAAAGGCTGTCTTGGACCACCCATGCCAAGGAGAGAGCCTTTAAACAGCAATTTGTAAACTATGCAACTGAAAAACTGAAGATGATTGTTAGCTCCACGAGTGCAAACTGCAGCCACCAAGTAAAACAGTAAGTTGAAAGATGTATCTTTGTTATTAAAAAAAAAATTACTGAAATATGACATACATACAGAAAATGCACTATTATTGCTCAAAGAATTATCACAAAATGAACATGTTTTGTGATCTTCACCAATGAGAAAATAGAACAATACTAAACCTCACTGCTGCCCTCTCTCTCCTAATCACTATTTTTCTTTCCATTCTCCTGATAAATTAGGTTTAAGTAAATAGGAACTTTCAAGAACTCTGGAGAGGTTTAAAAAGATAGTTCTTAATCTTTTGTTTTTGTTTTTTTCAGAGATAGAGTCTCTATCACCCAGGCTGGAGGGCAGTGGCGTAATCATGGCTCAGTGCAGCCTGGAATCTTAGGCTTCAGTAATTTTACTGCCTCACCCTCCTGTGTATCTGGGACCACAGGTGTGCACCACTACACCTGGCTAATTAAAAAAAATTTTGGCTGGGCCCTGTGGCTCACGCCTGTAATCCTAGCACTTTGGGAGTCCGAGGTGGGTGGATCACCTGAGGTCAGGAGTTCAAGACCAGCCTGGCCATCAGGGTGAAACCCCATCTTAAAAAAATAGAGAAAAAAAGAAAAAAAAATTTTTTCCTGTGTTACCCAGGTTGGTCTTGACCTCCTGGGCTCAAGTGATCCCGCCCTCCTGAAATGCTGAATAGCTGGGATTATAGGCATGAACCACCATGCCCAACTCAAAAGATAGTTCTTCAGCGGATGTGTTCTAAATTTATGTACCTGGCCAGACAAGGTGGTTCACACCTGTACTCCTAGCACATTGGCAGGCCGAGGCAGGTGGATCACTTGAGGTTGGCAATTCAAGAACAGCCTGGCCAATGTGGTAAAACCCCATCTCTATGAAAAATACAGAAATTAGCTGGGTGTGGTAGTGCCTGTTTGTAATCTCAGCTAGTTGGGAGGCTCAGGGATAAGAATCGCTTGACCCTGGGAGGCAGAGGTTGCAGTGAGCCAAGATTGCACCACTGCACTCCAGCCTGGATGGCAGAGTGAGACTATGTCCCAAAAGTAAACAATTGCCCTTAAGATACTTGTGATTTTTGATTGTTTGTTTTGAGATGAGAGTCTTGCTCTGTCACCCAGGCTGGAGTGCAGTGGTGTGATCTGGGCTCACTGCAACCTCCGCCTCCCAAGTTCAAGTGTTTCTCCTGCCTCAGCCTCCTGAGTAGCTGGGGCTATAGGCATACACCACCATGCCTGGCTAACTTTTTTTTTTTTTTTTGGTATTTTTAGTAGAGATGGGGTTTTACCATATTGGCCAGGATGGTAATCTTGATCTCCTGACCTCGTTGTCCACCCGCCTCGGCCTCACAGAGTGCTGGGATTACAGGTATGAGCCACCACGCCTGGCCCCACACCCAGCTAATTTTTTTTTGTATTTTTTTTTTTTTTTTTTTTTTTTTAGTAGAGCCAGGGTTTCACCATGTTGGCCAGGCTAATCTCAAACTCCTGACCTCAAGTGATCTATTCACCTTAGCGTCCCACAGTGTTGGGATTACAGGCATGAGCCACCGTGCCCGGCCAGATCCTTGTGGTTTCTTAATAAAGAAAACTGAATGAATAGAAAGGTAGATGGCTGAGCCGTCTCAGAAAACTGAATGAATTCTTAGCATTTAACAAAAGAACTTTATGGTAGGCAGACTCCTGATTTTTTGATGAATGTAGTTTTGCTCTCGCGATTCCAATTTATAAGTTAAATGCTATTTTAATTTTAGATCTCAGAATAATTTTATTATAAATATACCTAAGTCACCTGGTTTCTGCTTTTATGCAACTTAAATATTTCTTTCATTCATGTGACAAAAATATATAGAACTCAAGTTAAGTCCAAGTACACTGTTCTGTATTTAGATGCCTCTGAGAGCAGAATTTAAAAATTCTTTGAGTTCAAGATAACTTCAGTTTAATGAAAGTAACATTTACATAATTATAATACAAAGTGAGAGTCATAAGAAATATAAGAAAAGAAACTTTTATCATAACGCAAGGCTTTACAGGTTACTTAAATCCAGAAGGATAGTAGATCAGTAAAGGTTTCCTAGAGAAGATATATAGCATATGAGAGTTAATTCAGCATGCAAGTGGAGACAACAGCCCAGATGCAAAGCAAGAAGATCAGAGGAAAGGAATGTATTCACCGACACGAAGAGAAGAATTTCAGTGTGGCAGATGTGTATATAAGCTGTGTACATACTTCCACGTATAGACTTCACAGCAGGATATGGCCTTGTCTATGTGTGTAGATTGGGGTTTGGATAATTAGGAATTCTCAGAGTGATGTCATCAACACTTAGCTGTAGAACAAATAACTTTGCAGTAGTGTATGAAATTGTTTAGGCTCAGGAGACAGGAATTAGAACAAGTAACTTTGCAGTAGCGTATGAAATTGTTTAGGCTCGGGAGACAGGAATTTCTGGGACGGTAAACTGCTTCAGATACAAAATCAGAGTCTGAACTGACAGTTTATAATTGTAGAGAATGAATACCAGGAGACCACAGATTTGATGAATTTGTTCATTTATTCATTCATTCATTGACCACATTTTTTGAGCCTCTATTTTATGTGGTAGTTTTAATTTTAAATTGTATTAAGGATGAGTTTTTTTAATTAAGATACTTTGACTTCTGAAGAAATCAACTGAAATTCATGTAAATAAAAACAAAGTTAATGTAGTTTCCATGCACTGATTATCAGACATTTATTAATTGCCTCCCATGCGGCAATGCACACTAGGGGTTATGGGAATTAAAAACTTGACTTGATCCTCTTTCTTAAAAGACTTTGCATGTTAGTGGAGGGAACTTCAAATAATTTCTCAGTCAAAATATACTAAGTAAATAATATTTAACAAAATATTAAAAGAATGACGCGCACGCTTCATCTATCTGTCTAATACTGGTGGAATGGGATTTGGTGGAACGGGAAGAGGTATGCTCCCATTTAAAAAATGTAATGTTTGTCAAAGTTAATGTATTAATTAGCTGTCAAATAGAACCCTTTGATTCTAGATATATGGTTACATTTTGCTATAATATAAAATGTTTTTGCCTATGTCACAAAAGTTCATGGAGTTGTTCCTGTTCTTGATAATGTCTTACTTTCATTGGGCAGGGGACCAGGCATAAGTAAGGTGTAAGGTATTTCTGAAGAAATGCACCTGTCTTTTGTCTTTATGTAGCTTATTCATGTTCTCATTCATACAGCAGAGGTAATATCGTCTCTTGAGCCAGGATAAAATTCAGCCCACTAGTGCCATACCTTCCCTCTTAGCGTGAAGTGCCCTGATTCCCTGTAATTTAGAATTTTTAAAAAACTTGTGTTCTCCTTTTTATGTGAGCTTTAAATTAAAGCTTACTCATTTTTGAAGATGTTTATGACTGCTTCTGAATTTTTATTTTAAGACAAATGGCTACCACTTTTGCTCGCCTGTGCCAACAAGTTGATACTACTCAAAGACAACTGGAAGAAGAAATTGCTAGATTACCCAAAGAAATAGATCAGTTGGAGAAAATACAAAACAATTCAAAGCTCTTAAGGTATTTAAACTTTTTTTTCTCAATAATTTGAACATTTACTGGTCTCATTACCAAAATATGTAAAATTACTAATGAATTTGTGTTCATACCTAGTAGCTTTTTGTGTTGGTTTAAATGAAATTCGTCCATGTTTAATTCCATATGTTTTGCAGTTTCAGCAAAGACTAGTTTCAGCAAGAAAACAAATCTGAATAGAAAGGAACTTTATAGATCCAAACTTATTCTTCATTAGGTTATATCATATATTAGTCCCTTTAATTATAGAACAGAAATTGTACAATTAAAAGTGAGATTTTAGTTGTGTATGTCCAAGACCCATTACTTTTGTTCTCATGGGGGGACCGTTGATTGGGTATACTTAAATCATAAAACAAAAGTCAGATTTCCTGATAAAATGTGGATTTCTGGTTTGATGTGATTCATTATGGAATATTTGGGGTCTAATTAAATTTGCTTTTGGGACAAGACTGAAAATGTCACCAGTTAGGTCTATAGTTGGGAATTCTCACTCAGTGCTTGAGAACATACTTTCAGCTTTCTTACTTTCACTTCTCATCCATGAGCTGGCTTGTCAAAATGTCTTTGCAGAATTGTGAAACCTCATTTAGTCTCTGCTGTTACTTCTAGGACACGCACTACACAAAATTGCCTGTGTAAGAACAGCTTAGAGTCAATGTTTACAAATAGAAGGAACTGTCTTTGTGATGTGGATTTGGGGGCATGTACTTAAAGCATCCATAGTAGTGATTATCCGTAGTGTCTTCATCAGACTAACACACATGTTCATTGTACTTTAGTTTTAAAATCTCTGGAAAAGATGACTACCTATCACTTAGATTGTCCAACCTCACCCACCCATGCGAATTTTATATATTCAGTTGCTCCTATTTTAAGTTAGATCATCCCAAATATACCTCTCAAATTTGGTGAAACTGTGCAGTAGAAATTGTTTTTTTGTCTTTACGTAGGTATGTTTTTGTGATTTTTTTGGTTTTGATTTATTCAGCTTTTGAAAGATCCAGGTAAGTTTTTAAGTAGTATTTCATTTTTTGGCCTGCTAATCATTTTTCTTATAGGAAAAAGTTTTAAAAAATTACCATAATATTTGGAATATCCATTGTTTACTAGATTAGGACCAGCCATTTGGATAGAATTTAACTTGCTAACACTGCAGGAGAGCTACCTCAAGAAATATATACAGTAGAGTTCAAAGCTTATGTACTCTTCACTTGTATGACCTGAAGCATATGCACTCATGAACAAAGTAAAACAAGACCCCTTCCCCTTCTCCATGATGGAGAGAGAGCCCACTCAGTGAGTGTGTGCCCTGGCACAGAAAACAAGTCCCCTTCCCTTTCTCCATGATGGAGAGAGAGCCCACTCAGTGAGTGTGTGTGCTGGCACAGAATACAAGTCCCCTTCCCCTTCTCCATGATGGAGAGAGCCCACTCAGTGAGTGTGTGCCCTGGCACAGAAAACAAGTCCCCTTCCCCTTCTCCATGATGGAGAGAGAGCCCACTCAGTGAGTGTGTGCCCTGGCACAGTAAACAAGACCCCTTCCCCTTCTCCATGATGGAGAGAGCCCACTCTGAGTGTGTGCCCTGGCACGGTAAACGAGACCCCTTCCCCTTCTCCATGATGGAGAGAGTCCGCTCAGTGAGTGTGTGCCCTGGCACAGTAAACAAGACCCCTTCCCCTTCTCCATGATGGAGAGAGTCCGCTCAGTGAGTGTGTGCCCTGGCACAGTAAACAAGTCCCCTTCCCCTTCTCCATGATGGAGAGAGAGTCCACTCAGTGAGTGTGTGCCCTGGCACAGAAAACAAGTCCCCTTCCCCTTCTCCATGCTGGAGAGAGTTCGCTCAGTGAGTGTGTGCCCTGGCACAGTAAACAAGACCCCTTCCCCTTCTCCATGATGGAGAGAGTTCGCTCAGTGAGTGTGTGCCCTGGCACAGTAAACAAGACCCCTTCCCCTTCTCCATGATGGAGAGAGCACACTCAGTGAGTGTGTGCCCTGGCACAGAAAACAAGTCCCCTTCCCCTTCTCCATGATGGAGAGAGCACACTCAGTGAGTGTGTGCCCTGGCACAGAAAACAAGTCCCCTTCCCCTTCTCCATGATGGAGAGAGTCCGCTCAGTGAGTGTGTGCCTGGGCACAGTAAAGAAGTCCCCTTCCCCTTCTCCATGATGGAGAGAGTCCGCTCAGTGAGTGTGTGCCCGGGCACAGTAAAGAAGTCCCCTTCCCCTTCTCCATGATGGAGAGAGTCCGCTCAGTGAGTGTGCCCTGGCATGATATGAGAATGGGAAACAAGTCTGTTTCTCTGTCAGTTTTAGTTTCAATTTTCCTGTCTTGTGGGCATTTGGCTGCATCAAAGATAAATCTAGTGTTTAAAGGAAATCTTTTTAGTGTACCATTGCTGCTGTAACATCTGCTAGTTTGCTTGTATGTCCATGAAACACTCTGTACTTTATGCATTATGTAAAGGGAATGTGCAAGCACACATGACTATGTAATAGGATGTGACTCCCGTGCAAGGTGATATGATTCCACTGTCTAGTATACTCTTCGTTGTTTATTATTAAAGTTTTGTCTTTTCACAATGGATGGAATGCATCTTTCTCCTTGACCTTTGTGGTAATTAGATTGGTGTTTCTTTTTGTTTTTTTTTTTAATTAGAAATAAAGCTGTTCAACTTGAAAATGAGCTGGAGAATTTTACTAAGCAGTTTCTCCCTTCAAGCAATGAAGAATCCTAACAACAGAGATTGCTTTGGTGACCATGATAGGAAGAAACGAAACTTGTAAGATTGGGACAGTTATTTTTATGAAATGACTTTAAATATGAATTGTACTAACTGTACCTAAATAGCAAAGCCCTGTGTGGATTCTGATAGTGATCTATCTCAGGGTATTTGTATTTTGGAGAGTGTTATGTCCTTAGTTTTAATTTTGGGTAAAGAAAAGGCTTAAATTATGAATTAGTTACAAGCAACAATACCAACTTATGTGACCCCTGAGGGGTGGGGCTGTGAGCTCTTCATTTGTTTTTGATTCTGAAAAACTCTGCTTCCTGGCATCCAGGAGTTAGAGATTGAGCCTTTCATCTTCTTTCTCAAAACTAGTTTTTGATGCTATCTTTCATGGGAATAGTCACTTTTTAATTTTATTTAATAAACTGCATTGCCGGAATCACCAAGGAGTGTGGAATGTTCTTGAGTGTATTATTTCTGCAAGTTACAGTCTCTTTGCTGTCATGGCAGGTATGTGAACCACTAATAAATAGGCTGTTTTTACTTTTTATTCCCATTAAAACTGATGTAAAACAGAATAAAGGCTTTTTATAGTCACTTATAAATATCTGGGTCTAAATGATTTCCTTAGTTGTTTCTAAAGAAACATTTTCAGTCTTGCTCCAATTAGGATTTCAGTAAGAAAAGTTTTCCTAGCTCAATTTTAGGAATAAAGTTTGAAGAGAGAAAAATACACAAAGATAGGTCTGAATTTTGAATGATAACAGTGATGTTTTAAAAAAGCTGTTCTTCAGGAGGTATTTGCCTAGGATATTGCTGGATTATACCCCAGTGGAGGCTTTTACTTTTATTTGTATGAATTTTTCAGGGTTTCATTAAAAATTATTACTGTATTTTTTGCCTTAATAAAAGGTTATGGGGTCAAGTATCGATATTAAAAAGTGATTGAGTCTGTACACTTGTAAATTACACCTAGAAGAGGTTCTCTTGACTTTCTTCCCCAATGTGGAAGAGAGGCCAGTTTTGCCACCATTTGCATATTTCAGTATTTCTGATTCATAAATGTAAAATTTACAGAATTCTCCCTTTAGCTGGTGGAAATGCCTCATCAGTTTCCTCTTTAATAAATCAAATACAGTCTTTAACTGGTGTTGAAAAAAACTGATTGACACTCAGAATTCAAATGTAATAAAATGACAGCATTCTAGGAATTTGCTAGGCAAAATACAGGACTACCAGATAAGTACCACCTGGATGCTGGTTAGAAATACACAGTCCCGGGGAACACAGTACATTTGGCCACATGTAACTTATGCTTCCTTGCTATTCAGCAGTTTTATGGCAGGTGCAACTCTGTTTTTCAAGATACCTTCAAGAGAAGATAACACTAGGCCACTGAAGCCTTTCAAAAATATATTTTAATGCAAACTGATACTAGAATGCAGTATACCTAATGAAAATTAATTTTGGTTTTTAGCTTTTATTACTGTTTTATAACCCAAGAAATGGCACGGGCCACGAAATGTGGGATTAGGTAACAGAAACAATGTGGAAAAACAGCCTTTGAAATCTCGTACTGCTAATTAAGGTTACAAAGCTCAAGGCCGTAACCTTTATGCAAAAGTACTTAAAACTTGAAAGTTCCTAATGGTCTGGTGTCACCTCATTAGTACAGTTTAGTGGTTCTCAAAGCTTGGTTTTGGGTCATCAACATTACTTCTTTTTCTTTTTGAGACAGGTTCTCTAATGCAGTGGCATTATCATGGCTCACTGCAGCCTTGACCTCTCAGGTTCAGGTGATCCTCCCACATCAGCCTACTGGGTAGCTGGGACTACAGGTACATGCCATCATGCCTGGCTAGTTTTTTGCAGAGATGTGGTTTCCTTATGTTGTCCAGACTGGTCTTGAACTCACAGGCTCCAGTGATCCTTTTACCTTAGCCTCCCAAAGTGCTGGGATTACAGGCGTGAGCCACCACACATAGCCATAATCAGCTTCAAACTTGTAAGAAGTGTGGATTCTTAGGTCTGAACTCAGTGTATGGAGTCAGGCAGTAGGTTTGGGCCTGGCAATCTATGGTTGAACAAGCCACCGGGTGTTTCTGATATGCAGTAAAGTTGGGGTTCCACTGGTATGGCATGTTTGGTATGGCATCTTCTCCATCACTGTTTTATGTAGTTCTACCTGATCAATTGTGAAAACATAATGAATGTTGGAAAAGGAACAGTAAAATAATGAAACTCTTATGCCTGGAAGTACGTGCACCTGTACTAAGCCCACAAATTATACAGAAATTAAGTAACTATGAATGATGTACTTCAAAGTTATTGCACATATGCCTGCTTTAAGTTTTAAAAATCTTGGTATTTTTTCTTTTTTTAAATTATACTTTTAAGTTCTGGGGTACATGTGCAGAACATGCAGGTTTGTTACATAGGTGTACATGTGCCATGGTGGTTTGTTGCATCCATCACTCCATCTACATTAGATATGTCTCCTAATGCTGTCCCTCCCCTATCCCCCCGCCCCCTACAGGTCCTCCTGCTATGTGATGTTCCCCTTCTGTGTCCATGTGTTCTCATTGTTCAGCACTCACTTATGAGTGAGAACATGCGGTATTTGGTTTTCTATTCTTGTGTCAGTTTGCTGAGAATGATGGTTTATAGTTTTATCCATGTCCTTGCAAAGGACATGAACTCATCGTTTTTTATGGCTGCATGGTATTCCATGGTATATATGTACCACATTTTCTTCATCCAGTCTATCATTGATGGGCATTTGGGTTGATTCCAAGTCTTTGCTATTGTGAGTAATGCTGCAGTAAACATACATGTGCATATGTCTTTATAATAGAACGATTTATAACCCTTTGGGTATACACCCAGTAATGGTTTTGCTGGGTTAAATGGTATTTCTAGTTGTAGGTCCTTGAGGAATCGCCACACTGTCTTCCACAATGGTTGAACTAATTTACACTCCTACCAACAGTGTACCAACATCTTCTCCAGCATCTGATTTTTTTAACAATTGCAAGTCTAACTGGTGTGAGATGGTGTATCAGTGTGGTTTTGATTTGCATTTCTCTAATGACTAGTGATGACAAGCTTTTTCTCATGTTTGTTGGCTGCATAAGTGTCTTCTTTTGAGAAGTGTCTGTTCATATCCTTTACTACTTTTTGATGGAGTTGTTTTTTCCTTGTGAATTTAAGTTCCCTGTAGTTTCTGGATGTTAGCCCTTTGTCAGATAGGTAGATTGCAAAATTTTCTCCCATTCTGTAAGTTTCCTGTTCACTCTGATGATGGTTTCTTTTGCTGCGCAGAAGCTCTTTAGTTTAATTATACCATTTGTCAATTTTGGTTTTTGTTGCCATCGTTTTTGGTGTTTTAATCCTTAAGTCCTTGCCCATGCCTATGTCCTGAATGATATTGCCTAGGTTTTCTTCTAGGGTTTTTATGGCGTTAGGTCTTAGGTTTAAATCTTCAACCCATCTGGAGTTAATTTTTGTATAAGGTGTAAGGATAGGATCGTTTCTGCATATGGCTAGGTAGTTTTCCCAACACCATTTATTGAATAGGGAATTATTTCCCCATTGCTTGTTTTTGTCAGGTTTGCCAATGATCAGATGGTTGTAGATGTGTGGCGTTATTTCTGAGGCCTCTGTTTTGGTACCAGTACCATGGTGTTTTGATTACTTTAGCTTTGTAGTATAGTTTAAAGTCAGGTAGTGTGATGTCTCCAGCTTTTTTTTTTTTTTTTTTGCTTAGGATTGTGTTGGCTATTTGGGCTCTTTTTTGGTTCCATATGAAGTTTAAGGTGGTTTTTTTCCAATTCTGGGAAGAAAATCATTGGTAGCTTGATGGGAATAGCGTTGAATCTATAATTCCTTTGGGCAGTATGGCCATTTTTATAATACTGATTTTTCCTAACCATGAGCATGGAATGTTTCTCCATATCTTTGTGTCCTCTCTTATTTCCTTGAGCAGTGGTTTGTAGTTCTCCTTGAAGAGGTCCTTTACAAATCTTTTGTTAGTTGTATTCCTAGGTATTTTATTCTCTTTGTAGCAATTGTGAATGGGAGTTTGCTCTTGATTTTGTTCTCTTTTAGTCCATTATTGGTGTATAGGAATGCTTGTGATTTTTGCACATTGATTTTGTATCCTGAGACTTTGCTGAAGTTGCTTATCAGCTTAAGGAAAGTTTGGGCTGAGATGATGGGGTCTTTTAAATATACAATCATGTCATCGGCAAATAGAGACAGTTTGACTTCCTCTCTTCCTAACTGAACTTCCAACACTATGTTGAGTGGTGAGAGAGGGCACCCTTGTCTTGTGATGGTTTTCAAAGGAATGCTGCCAGTTTTTGCCCATTCAGTATGATATTGGCTGTGGGTTTGTCATAAATAGCTCTTATTATTTTGAGGTATGTTCTATTGATACCTAGGTTTATTGAGTTTCTAGCATGAAGGGCTGTTGAATTTTATTGAAGGCCTTCTCTGCATCTATTGCGATAATGGTGGTTTTTGTCTTTGGTTCTGTTAGTGCATATGCTTACTTTCTGTGTTTGCAGGATTATTTAAACTTTGTATAATCTTTTCACATTTTTTCACTATGCAAGCTTGCAAGGTGAAAATAAAACCTGTTTGCCTGATAGTTGACAAATATAGCATTTACACTAGTATTTAGTGAGTTTTAATTTTTTTTAGGAGAGAATTTATTTTAAAAGTGTCATCTTAAACTGCAAGGATGTCTGTCAGATGTTACAATTAAACATGCCAAAGGAGAAGCCATGTTGTCAAAATGCCCTCTTATCCCACCCAAACATCTCAAGCCCACCCTTTGCTGACCTTCTATAAGCCCATTTTAAAAATTTTTTTTTTCTTTTTTTAAACAAGAGGAAGTAGACAGATACATGTTGGTAAATGTTAACTGTCCATATTCACATAGAGACACAGTGTACTCTCTGAGCCCAATATACAGAGAAAGGAAAAAAGCTAGAATTCTATGCACTACTACACAGGGGCCTAGCACCCTCCAGCTTCCAGCAGAGCGAAGGGAGCAGGTTTTTCTTTTTTCCCACAGAGCTTGGTGGTATTGATTCCATACAGTTTTTGTTAAGACAGGAAGGGATAAAAATGAATTTCAAACAGAAAGGGGTAGAGACTGTTTTCCCATTGTATCCTGCTCAAGATATTTCCCCCCAAAATAAGTTGAGAACCATGGTGTAGAGAAAGACCTCAAAAACAGGGTGACTGAGCACAAGAGGGAAGGGAAAAAAAAAAAAAAGACTGCCACTTGCTCTCAGGGGCTGGAGAAAATTTAAAAAAAGGAAGGTTGGAATCCATCAGTGTTCTATTAGTCATCTTCATCCTCCTCTCCTTCCTCCCCTTCATCATCATCTTCTTCACCTTCATCCACATCCCCTTCTTCATCAATATCTTCTAATCCTTCCTCCTCTTCATCATCATTTTCTTCTTCTTCATCATCCATATCAGGAACCACGTAGTATTGTAATGGGTTTGGCCAAATATCATCTTTGATGACCTCTCCTAATTCATCAGCACCTGCATCAGAATGGTCAGTAAACCAGGTAAAGAAGCTCTCTGGTTCCTCATGCTGCCTCTTCCTGCTGGCTTTATTCTGCGTTTGACTTGAACGTTTCGTCAAATCCTTTCCAGATTTCCATTTGATTTCGGTGGACTTTGAAGATGGATCACCACTCTCATTCAGATGAAATTCTTTGGAGAGAACTTTATTTTCAAAGTAAGGCTTTTCATCAAAATAAAAATCTATTCTGTAACCTGATTTAATACCTTCAAATTCTGTCACTTCAACTCTGGTCAAATAATGCAGTGCCTCTTCGTCCTCCTCCCCAAGCAGTGCAGACACTTGTGGATGGTTGACAAATGATGTTACCCAAAAATTTGGGATTTTGGCGATCAATTCTGACCTCTTCTGAAAAAATGGTTGGCGGAGTTTGTTATATTTCTGTTCTACTTTCAAAATCTCCTCACTGGCTTGTTCATTAAGTCTATTTCATTTTGTACTTCATCAATGTGTTCAATTGCTTCTTGCTGTTCTTTTTCTCCCTTCTTCGGCAAGCTTGCAGAGGCCGATGTCTCCTCCAGTCCCTGAGCAGGAGGTGGTCTTGGTTTCTTCTTTTCAGGCAGGAGTGGAGACTAGCGTTTGGGGGCCATGCTGCTGGGAAAGTCTGAGAACCGGAGCACAAGTCTTCTTGCTCGTCCAGAAGCAGGCAGAACACTCTATTCTTTCATTCTTAATCACTTTTACGTACGTAGGTTTCTTGAGTAGACCTCTTTTGACTGCATTACTGTTCATGAATTCATGACTGAATTCTTCTGGCCAAGTAGTAAAACAGGGTAAGTAAAATTTACATACACTCATTAGTATACGATGTCATACAGCACTATCAGAGCAGTCAAGAAGTTTTCTGCTTTAGACATAACAATTTACAGATAATTAGTACTTTTCGCTGGACAACAGGACTAATATTCAAAGTGTCAAAGGGGATTTTGTTCTTGCCCTCTGCTTCAACCTGTAGTGCTTTGTAACCCTGCATGGACTTGTAAGTTTAAGGGAAAGCAACATTTTATTATAGAATAATATTAAACAAGGACAGAAATAACCAGGAAAGCATAATAAACCTTCACCCCATTGCTCAGCTTCAAGAAGTACCAACTCACCGCCAAAGCTGTTTTATTTCCTCATTCATCCTCTCCAAAGGGTATGGTGGTGAAAAAAAAGTAGTAATGAATGATAATTTATCAACACCATAAGCAGAATTGCTTATTTAAAAATTACACAGGCCAGGCTTGTTGGCTCAAGCCTGCAATCCCAGCACTTTAGGAGATCAAGGTGGGATGGTCCCTTGAAGCCAGGAGTTCGAGACATGCCTGGGCAACAAAGCAAGACTCATCTCCATAAAACCTTTATAAAAAATTGGCTGGGCATGGCAGTTCACGCCTGTAATCAATCCCAGTACTTTAGGAGGCTGAGGCAGGCAGATCTCTTGAGCCCAGGAATTCAAGACCAACCTGGGCAACATACATCCTGTCTCCATAAAAATTGACTGGGTGTATTGGTATGCGCCCATAGTCCCATCTACTCCGGAGGCTGAGGTGAAATGATCACTTGAGTTGGGGACTCAGAGGTTGCAGTAAACGGTGATACCACCACTGCACTCCACCCTGGGCAACAGAGTAATACTCTTGGGGGGAAAAAAAAAAAGGAAAACGGTGGTGGGGCATAAAAAACGATTCAGTGAAATCTGGTTAAAAGCATTTTATTGATTACAACATCAATTCACAATATTTTGTAAAGCTACTGTACAAATAGAGGAATGATTCACTGTGTAAGAAAGAGCTAAGAACAGTTAAATCATGATACAAGTCCATAGTAATCTAACATGTTTACCCTTTCCACAATTAGACTACTACTGACATTCATGTTCAATTGACTACAAGTGTATACAAATCATTCTAGGTAAAGAAAAACATTTTCAGAATGCTTTAACAGGAAAATAATTTTAATCAACTTTAAAAACACACTTAGATGTGGATGCCTTTGGATAGGAAAATAGAAAAGTAAGTGATCAGATCCTTCTTTGAAAAGAAAACAATAGGATAGAGCACCATTGTGTCAAAGACAAAAGGCTTGAGATATCTACCAAGTGTATCACTGAAGTTCTATTAAGAAATAAGATTTTGTTGAATACATTTAACACCAGTTGGAGCAAAACATTTTCCCCCCCATAATGCTGCTTTATCATAACTATTTTACGAAATCAGTAACTGGATTGAGGAAAAAAAAATGAGACTTTATCAACATGCAAATATTTGCTAAATACAAGGTGTACCTCCAATGTGTGATTAGTAAGTTACTTTTTAAAGTGCTAGCTTATTCTACTATAAACCATTTTATTGAGTACCTATTATGTAACCAATATTTTAAAATATACACTGAATCTGAGGCAACCCAAAATGAACAATGGAAAGAAAAGTAAATGTTAAATGTACTTCACGTTCACATTCTAGTAGTCTAATTTAAAACATAAATTCATTGTGCAACCCGTAAGAAAGATGGTCTAACCTGTGGCTGTTTTTTTAAATTCTAACAGGAGAAATCATTTAAAATTTTGCTTTTTCACAATGGCATAAAAGAATTTGAACATATTTAATTTAAAAAAATTAAGCCTGACTCAGACTCCACAAAGATTTTAGAAAGGACATCTTCCCTATTGAAATGATGGCAAACCCAAATGGGGGATTGTTGAACCAGTTTTCCTACGTTAAACCAAGAATAAGCCACAAGTATTCAGTTGTGTTACAATTTAGATCTGAGACATTTACATCAAAGCAGATTTTCCTGAACATGTTCACATTTAAAATGCTTAAGATCTTATTGTAAAATCTAAAATATCAAACATTGGAGGAGCTCAGTTACACATTAGCACAGCAGTTTTAAACAATAATAAAAGTTTCATTTTTTCCCCTTAAGTCAAGATCCATTTATCTATTAATAGGTTAAGCTTGAGATCTGTAACATATTCTAGAAGCACCTACCTCTATTTAATTTCCAGGAGACTAGAATCATTGTGCAATTTCTGAGGTCATCTCAGTCTAAAATGCAGGGAATTGCTGAACAGGCCCATTTGCTGTTGAGATATGAAGCCCAAAATCTTTGCCTCTGAAGATGGAATTCAGTGTGGTATGTGTAATCACAAGTAGAAATTTGAGCTAGGGAAGGACCTTGGATATTCAGTCTAAATCTCAAACAGCATAGCTGTCAAAAATGAGGCTGTCCATTAAAGTGGAAGAGATATCCTTGCTGATAGCAAGAACTGCTTTCTTAAGCAGGTTTTTGGGACAATATGCTAAACACCAGAGGGTGATCACACATTTAAAAAAGAACATGTACTTCTAAAATATTCTTGCCAGATCTCAAAAAACTACTCTTCTTGACATGCTACAGAGTCAACAGATTAACCTTCTGAGGCACATTATGTTTAAATGTTAGCACTTCAGGAGGCTGATGCTTGTGGACCACTTGAGGCCAGGAGTACAAGATCAGCCTGGCCGAGATGGCAAAATCCTGTGTCTACTAAAAGTACAAAAATTTGCCAGGCATGGTGGCACATGCCTATAGTCCCAGCTACTTGGGAGGCTGAGGCACAAGAATCGCTTGAACCCAGGAGGCAGAGGTTGCAGTGGACAATATCGCGCCACTGTACTCCAGCCTGGGCAGAGTGAGACTCTTTAAAAAAAGAAAGAATAAGAAACATTAACTCCAATATTCTTTTTCTGAGATGGAGTCTCCTGTCGCACAGGCTGGAGTGCAGTGGCATGATCTTGACTCACTGCAACCTCCATCTCCCAGGCTGAAGCAAGATTCTCCTTCCTCAGCCTCCCAAGCAGCTGGGATGACAGGCACGTGCCACCATGCCCAGCCAATTTTTTTTGTAATTTTAGTAGAGACGGGGTTTCACCATGTTGGCCAGGCTGGGCTTGAACTCCTGACCTCAGGTGATCCATCTGTGTCGGCCTCCCAAAGTGCTAAAATTACAGGCATGAACCACTGCTCCTGGCCTGCAATATTCTTGATGATGCAAAATTTTAAAAACTAAATCCAGCCGGATTTTTCAGCCTTGAAAAACTAAGATCCAAACTATTCGACATTTCTGCAAATTATATACTCATTGAATTCAGGAACAATAACAGAATTAATCAATACAACTTAAACTGCAAGTAAACAAATATATTTAGCAAGTGGAGCCCCTCTTATTAAAAGCTAAGGTATAACCAGGAAGGTAACTGTGGTAGTGAGGCTACTTTGTCACCATTTGTTACTGTGTATAATTAGCCACAAGTGTTAAGTAGTAGTTTTTAGTTGCTGAGTGAATAATTACGGGAATTGCTTTAAACTCTTCATAAACTTTTTTTTAATTTCTGGAGACAGAGTCTTGCTCTGTTGCCCAGGCTGGTCTCGAACTCCTGACCTCAAGTGATCCGCCTACCTCAGCTTCCCAAAGTTCGGATTACAGGTGTGAGCCACTGCACCCACCCTTTAAAAAGTTAATAGAAATCTTAACCAAAATATAAGTATACATTCATAACTGCCATCTACAATATTCTATTTTTTTGGTCCTATATCTTAGTTTGCCTGTATCCATTTTTATTATCCTCCTGTCAGCTGATTTTAACAAACAAAACTGATACCGATGTCTTTACAGTTGATGCACATATTCTCACATTCACAATATAAAAATAAAAATTTACAGGTAAAATTTGGGAGTATTTTTAGGTTAAGGTTTCACATGTTCAAAAGCTAACGAAGACCTATCTGAAAAGTAACAAAGTTAGAAAACAAGCACTTCTATATCAGAATAATCCAAGATTTTACCATCAAGCAAGACTAACAATCTTCTATTATCAATTTGATTTATTTGTAAAAGAAAATCTAAGAGGAAAAGTATATTTAACTTGGTGGTAGCAGACATTTAGTAATAGACACATTATTCTACCACAGAAGAATTAATATATTTCTCTAACTCCTTTAGGAACTGCTTTAGGACGGCTTTAAGTGAAATCACTTAGATCTAGACATCTTTTGAAGCAAAACCACTTAGAAACCAGTATTTTGTGCTAAGGAAGGGAAGAAATACTATAAAATAGAACAAAAAGCTTAAAGGTTTCATTTTAAGAAATTTAAAGGCACAGATTTCACGTCAATTCAGATTTTATATTATGCAAACATGAAATAAACCACCATGTTACAACAAATATGTGCTAGCGATTGGTTAGATTTTACACTTCTCTCCAAATGTAACACTCACATTGCATTTCTTATCTAGATGTATACAGATAGCACTGGGAAGGATGTTCAGATGCAAGGACAATCCCAATGTTTATCCAACTCCTTAAAGATGAGCAGACACTACAAACTTAGCTCCAGAATATGAAATGAATAGGAAAGTCAAGCTATTTAGAAGAGGGCTACTCAAAGTGTCAACTGATCATAATCAGGCATTTACAATGTCAAGAACCATTTATATACTATTATTATTTTTTAATTAATAAATGCTAATGAAGTTTCTTAGGTATATCTAAAATATCAGTGAAATCTTCAGATTATCTGTCCCCTCAGAGGACTGAAAACAATCTCCTCCTTAGATTAACGGTACAGCAGAGGATGCGTGAGAAACGCTAGCTCCTTAGATGAACAGTATGGCAGAAGATGCATGAGAAATGAAGGACCCCCTCAGAGGTGCCCCACCCATCAGTGCTCTTAAACATGAAGCCATCAGGACCTCTTAGATTCAGAGAGAGATCTGAATTCAAGAATTCAAGGGGACTTTATTCAGGCATAAATACACATACAGTAGCATTTCTATTTCTGTGCCTGTTTCTTCTATTATAAAGCTCAATAATGTGACACTTCTGGTGTCTACAAAGCTAAAAATGTACTTCTTAAAAAATGCAAACACAATGGTGAGCCGCTATAATGTGTACATTCTGTCCTACACAAAGAAAATAGACTCTGAGTACACACAACAATTCAAGGTTAAATTAACTCCTCAAATTAATACACTGGTCCTTTTGATCTCAGAAGACACCTCTGCCTCCCCCCCCACCTTTTTTTTTTTGGTACTTTACTGAAAGCTTGTTTTTGTATATAATCTAATAGAAAAATCTTCACCTGCAAATATAAGGTAGAATTTTTTCACAGCTATAGGCTGTAGCACTGATTTCTCCAGATGTAAGGGTGGAGAACAAAGAATATGTATGACACTGTTAATTCCAGATTCTAAGAAAACTGTCCCAGGAGCCTGTTGCCACAGCCATGCCATCATCAGTTACACCTAAGCAGCTCACACGGTTGTCATGACCAGCAAGGACACCTGAAAAAAACAATTCAGTAAAAAGCAGTTGTAGAGTTTTAGAATTCAACAACTATATTCATAGACTGAGATTTAAAAGGGTACTTAAAAACTACCAGTCCAGTTTGAAAGCTCATCAGCTAAAAACAAAATTAAAAGAAAACGAATTTCTCTAAGAAGACTCAGGTTAGGAAGAACCTGGATGTATTTATAAATTTGTATTATTTGGATTTTTGACGTGTGTCAATTTGTGGTTTTAATTTTTGAAAAATCATTTTATAATTCAACTTGTATCTAGGAAAACATATGTAGACAATTATTCTGCATCTCTAGTAAGTTCATGATATTCCAAATTTGCTACCAAGCTATGTTATTTTTAACAAAAACAAGATTTTTCAATGAAGTTCACTGAAGTAGCCCTTTACCACAGGAACAACAAAAACATAAGAATAAAGCTGCCTTATATCACTGTTTCCAAAAATAGCAACATAATTTACTTACTTCCTTATGCTAATGACCAAACTCAGGAATGTTATTGGTTATAACTTTCTGAAACCATGAAAGTTTTCATTTCTCTTACATATTAAACTCACTTGATACATTCCCAGTATTTGGGAGGAAAACAAGAAATACAATAAGATTAATAAGAAAATTTAGAATACATCAAATACCCAAAAGAATTTTTAAAAGACACTGTGTTTGAATTTCCATTATCTCTCTATTCTTAAGCATGTCATATTCCATCAATCATCTCAGGAATGGAAGTTCATCTTGTCTAACTCTTAATATTCTCTATACTGTCTCCAGTATGGCCATGTTTGAAAATGGGAAAATTTACCATTAGGAGTTGAAATAACAACAACAAAATGAACATTGTGGCTATATAAGTCACACTGGAGGGGGAATGAATTTGTAATTCACAAGTCAGGATTCAATTTTAAGTTGAAAGTTCCAGTTGAGTCAACTTGAGACCTGCTGTAAACAAAGCAAAACTAAAACTCAAGCATGTAAGTGTAGACAAGCAGCACACTTTTATTTTGTTATGGATACTAATGGATTCAATCCATGCAAAACACCCAATACCTTTAAAAAGTAATCAGCTTTAAGCAACAGAAGATTTCCAATAATCTACTTGGAAAGCGTAAAATTGTGAACCATGCAGTCTCTTAAAAGAGGTTGTAGAAAATTATTCTTGGAAAAGCTAACACTGCCTCTGCTGCCTCAGGAACCCCAACAACTGCATGGCGGGTGTTAAAAGGGTAAGGACGTAAACCCACAAGGACAGTGAGAGCAGGCAATGGCAACAAACCTCTGTAAGCTAGATGGTGGCAACCATGTTAATGAACCCCAAAATACTGACTTCAAAATGAAAGATCTAGTAAGCCAAGTAACAAAATTACACTCTAGATTCTCTGAAAATGTCCCTACTAGGTGGAACCAGGTATCTCTGGAACAGGTAGGGCAAAGTCAGAGTAAAGTAAGATTGCACTGGAAAGTGTTCATGAATCAGTAAGACCCCCAGGTGTCCGCTTCCTCTACTCTGCAGAGTCCAGTGATGGATCATCCTGCACTGTGGCCTAAGACTAGAGACTCTTGTCAATGGAAAAGGTGAAACAGGGTCTCCAGACTGGAAGAAAAGGGGCACAGATGTGACTGGTAAAACTGTGCTTATATGGGGAAGAAAGAATTTACTAGCTAAATGTTGTGGCCCCTCAGTTTTCTCTTGAAATCAGCCCCCAACTGGCAGCCAGTTTATACACTTCATGGAGGAAAGCGGAAGATGGAAAAAGTCAGACAGGCAGACATAGCAGAGTTTCTCAGTGAACGGCCAATTAGATCACCCTTCAGGGGGGCCTAGAATCAGCACACCAGCCATGTGCTCAGAGCTTCAAGTGGTTTTAGTGCCTCACTCTTAAGTTTGAATAAGACACTATCACTTTTGGCCGGGCACGGTGGCTCAGGCCTATAATCCCAGCACTTTGGGAGGCCAAGGCGGGTGGATCACAAGGTCAAGAGATCGAGACCATCCTGGTCAATAAGGTGAAACCCCATCTCTACTAAAAATACAAAAAATTAGCTGGGCATGGTGGCGCATGCCTGTAGTCCCAGCTACTCGGGAGGCTGATGCAGGAGAATTGCCTGAACCCAGGAGGCGGAGGTTGCGGTGAGCCGAGATCGCGCTGTTGCACTCCAGCCTGGGTAACAAGAGCGAAACTCTGTCTCAATAAAAAATAAAAAAGAAACCAACACTTTCAAGAAAATTTCTAAAGGACAGGGAACCCTAAAAATGAAGGAAAAAAACAACTTGGAAACACAAAAGACTATGCTTGAAGAAGAAACTTAAAAAACTAATTTACTTATAACCTCAGAGAAACACAGACTTCATTTATGAACAAAAAAATGGGTGCCACAAAAAGAACAAAATACCTCTTAAGTTAAAAAGATGGTAGCAAAAATGAAAACCAAAACTTCACAGAAGTGTTGAAACCCAAGGTAAAGGTTCCTCCCAACAGATAAAGCGAAAAAGATGGAAAATGGAAGAATATAATTAAAAAGCCAAAGGATCAGTCCAGGAAGCCCATTCAATATAATGGGAGATCTAGAAAAGGGAATGATGATAACAGAGAAGAAATAAAATTCAACAAGCACCCCCCCACCCCGCAGTTGTCCTGTTCTATAGAGTAATGAGTTTCCAGATCAAAAAGGCTCACTAGATAACCCAGCACAATGAATGAAAATGATCCGCTCCAAGACATGTCAAAACCGGCAGACAGCGTGAAGATTCATTACTGAGAAGTATATCCAAACTAAGAATATAAACCAAAAAGTTAACTGTAGAAAATACAAAAAACCTGCATGGCAAAAGAAGTCACAATGTCTCACAGCTCAACAGCAAAGGACTTTTTAAACACTGAATGTGGTCCTAAACAAAATTTATCATATGGGAAAAACTGGTTGGGAAGAAGATGGCCATGGTGGGAGCAGCTTAAAACAAACACTTATCTATGATAACAGGTCAGCAACAGTTAACATCCCTAAAATTAAAACAAGTAACAGCAATACAGGCATGTTATTTAGAGATATGTAAGTAAGGTGATTCAAGCCTGTAATCTCAGCTACTCCAGAGGCTGACATGAGAAGAAACCAACCTTACCAACATAGAGAGACTCTGTCCCAAAACAAGGGGGGATGAGGGGACCAGGTAAATGACTACATGTATAGTTACTCTGGGGAGCAGAAACTGTGCACTGGGAATGAAACAACTGCTGTTTTGGTAACAGGACAATTGGATTGCTTTAAGTATAATTTTGATTTTTAAAAATAGTTATAAATTACTCTGTGTGACTTGTTATTAATGAAGGTCCCCAGTGTGGCTGAATGTGTATTGTCATCTTGTGGAAGCTGCAGAGGAGGACTCAGAGTATGGGGCTAAGGGAAGACCACAGGTCTATGTCTTGTCCCATACAAGATCTGCTTCAGAAAGAAGAAAACCAGCAGTTACAGTGTTTCCTGTCAGGTGATGAAAAGTGTGATTTCTAAAATACCATACTGAATCATATTCACTATCCATCTTTAATTCTGAAACCTACCAAACAAGAAAATATTACAGAACTCAATGTGACTCTTCAGAAAGCAAAAATATAAATATGGCTTATGGATTATAACCACAAACAAAGGATAAAAACAAAGAACTTGAAGAGAACCATTGGGTTACCACTTTCCACAACTCCAAGATGTCCATGGAGGCCTAGAACACAACTGATGGGAACCTCTTCTGCTTCCTGAAAATCAGAACCACATTAGGACTTATTTACTAACCTGCACGATCTCCTTTTAGTGTGTCCCATACATTACAATTAAAGTCATCATAACCGGCCAAAAAGAGACGCCCACTTTTTGAGAAGGCTACGGAAGTGATTCCACAGATGATATTGTCATGAGAATACAGTAATAACTCTTGGTCTGCACGAAGGTCAAAGAGCCGACAAGTGGCATCATCAGAGCCAGTGGCGAAGGCATATCCATTTGGGAAAAACTAGACAGGAAAGGAACAAACATTTATTCTACAGATGGATGCAAAATCATAAGAGGCAGTGAATAACAGACAAATCTAGACTCATATTCCAACTTGGCTACTTACCAGGTGAGCGATGTTGGGCACTAAAGCTTCTTAAATACTTTGAGCTTTAGACTCCATCTCAGAGTGTTGGTTAGGATTGAATTAAATAACATATGCAAAGTACACAGCGCATTGTTCAATACACAGCAAATATTCAACAGATACTGGCTCTGGTTCTCCATATGTCATACTGAAACATTTAAGGCAAGTACTAATATTTATAAAATGTATACATGTGTGTGTGGCTACGATGGAAGGAGTGGTTAGGAGATAAAAAGTCCACAATCTTGATAGGCTTATAAAGACCCCTTAGGACAGTTCTTTTTCAGAATTCAAAATTTTTCAGATTTTAGAAAGCAAAACCCAAATCTGGTGCAATCTGCAATACACTATCAAGTCAATATTAGTAAATAACACTATTCAAATCCTCAATATCTTACTTCTTGTCACCTTAGGATATCCACATTGACAAGTTGTCTACTAAGTGTCCTACATAATGGTGTTTTGGGTCCCTGAATTTTTAATTGCTTTTGTTTTATGAATTTCAATGTTACAGCATCACTATTGTCTCTTTTATTAAAGTACAACTCTCATTTACAGTTTTTGCTCCAATTCTACTTTGCTTAATAGTAATACAGTAATATCACTACAGATTTCCTTCCAGTTTATGACTTACCCATTCTTTTACTGTTACATTATGCCTTCCTGGGTCGTTTTGTTTTACGTTTATTTCTTGCAAACAACATTATGGTTCAGTTTATTCTGTATCTTTTTTTTTTTTTTTAAGACAGAGTTTCGCTCTTGTTACCCAGGCTGGAGTGCAATGGCGCGATCTCGGCTCACCGCAATCTCCGCCTCCTGGGTTCAGGCAATTCTCCTGCCTCAGCCTCCTGAGTAGCTGGAATTACAGGTATGCGCCACCATGCCCAGCTAATTTTTTGTATTTTTAGTAGAGACAGGGTTTCACCATGTTGACCAGGATGGTCTCGATCTCTTGATCTCGTGATCCACCTGCCTCAGCCTCCCAAAGTGCTGGGATTACAGGCGTGAGCCACCGCGCCTGGCCTATTCTGTATCTTTTAATAGCGGTAATCATTTACAGGTAATGCCTTAAGTGATTATTCATGGTCTTAATCTCTTATCCTATAGTATATTTACTGTATTTTCTCCCCACATCATCACTCTGGTTTCTGATACTGAAAATTCTTGGGTCACAATATTTCCCCCTTAACACTGGGCAGATTATTGTTCAGGAGCCTTCCAGCGGTGTCTATTGTGAAAACGTGCGAGGTTAGCTTGGTTTTTTACTCTTTTATATCTAGGTAATCTATGTTTTCATCTTGGAATTTATTCCCTTATCTTTTGATACTCTAAATTCAACAGGATGTGTTGTTTTCTTTTAATTACTTTTTTTTGTTTTTTTGAGATGGAGTCTGGCTGTCGCCCAGGCTGTAGTGCAGTGGCACAGTCTTGGCTCACTGCAACCTCCACCTCCTGGGTTCAAGTGATTCTCCTGCCTCAGACTCCTCAGTAGCTGGGATTACAGGCATGTGTCACAACGTCTGGCTAATATTTTGCATTTTTAGTAGAAATGTGGTTTCACCATGTTGACCAGGGTGGTCTTGAACTCCTGACCTCAAGTGATCTGCCTGCCTCAGCCTCCCAAAGTGCTGGGATTACAAGCATGAACCATGGCTCCAGGCTCCTCTTTTAATTACTTTTTAAAAAGTACTTCATAAGACTCTTGGACCTTCAACTCAATGTCTTTCCTCAACTGAGATATTTTTTAAAAAATTATTTCTTGGCTATACTTCTGCTTCCAGTCAAAATAGAGTAACAGTGATTGGATTTGCTCCATGCCTTAAAGGAGAATCACTTGAACCCAGGAGGTGGAGGTTGCAGTGAGCCAAGAATACGCCCTGTAAACTTTCATGGAAAGTACTTCACAGTACTGAGGTTCATGAAGATTAAGCAGCATGACTAGTTTCACACAGGTACTAATGACAGCAGAATTAAGATTAGATCCCAGGTTTCACTGACTTCAAAAGCTATACTCTACACTAAACAGCTGCTTTTTTCATCCTTATTATTCTCTCTTTGGGTTGTTCCCTTTGGTCCCAGAGATATGGGACTTTTTTCTCATCTAAATTCACTGTTAGAACATCCACAATCTGCTTGTTTACGCATGATAATCTATCCCTCTACTTTATGGGGGGGTGGAGCGATATTCACTAGCATAATCCTAGACTGTCAGGCACAGTGGCTTATGCCTATAATCCCAACACTTTGGGAGGCTGAGGTGGGAGGATTGCTTCAGCTCAGGAGCTCGAGACAACACAGCAAAACCCCATTTCTACAAAAACTGGCTGTGCATGGTGGTGTATGCCTGTAATCCCAGCTACTCAGGAGACTGAGGTGGTAGGATCACTTGACCCCAGGAGGTTAAGGCTGCAGTGAGCCATGATTGCACCACAGCACTCCAGCCTGGGCAACAGAGCAAGAATGTCTCAAAAAACAAACAAACAAACAAAAATCCAACAATAAAAAAGATCTATGACTATGAATTGAAGCTTTTTAAAAAAATCAAACCCTTATTACTTGGAGATTCAAAGTTATAAGAACATATTATTTATAAAAATCCATGAAGTAATTTGTTGTTAAAATCATGCCATAGAGCTCAATACTTTATGCAGAATAAATTTTCTCTGGAAATACTATTCACTTACACTGACAGCATTAATATCTGAGACATGTCCTGTGAAAGACTGTCTACACATTCCATCTCGAATATCCCATAATTTTGAAGAGGCATCACAAGCACCAGAAACAAAAGTCCTCATGTCAGGACTCAGGGAAAGACTCATTACATCTCCAGAATGCCCAGTGAATGTGGTGGTCTGCTGGGCAGTTTCGATGTCCCATAAAGCACTGTAATTAAAGACAAAATAAAACACTTAATGACAATTATCTCTTATGTCATTTCCTACCACAACCCTCAAACCAGTGTTCTTCTGGAATAAACTTACCAAGTTGTATCTCCTGAACTTGTAACAATTTGGCTGTCATCTAAAAAACGACAGCAGGACAAGTACCCTACAGTATAAAGAGTAGCAAATTTTAGGTTATCACTGATTGAATAACTTAGTTACCATATGAAATAGCAATATATATTTTTAAAAACAATACCTGGGCAACAAGTGCTTCTCAATATAATCTACAGTTCTGTTTTTAGTTACTAAAAAAAATCCTACATTGTCTATAAACTACATTTTATCAACAAACCATTCTTAGGGACTTAACATGTTAATGACATGTACTGGGTACTCTGAAATTTAGAAGAACTATAACCTTGGGAAGAACTATAATCAATGGCCAACTGTGTTAAGCACCCTGGCTTTTAAAATACTGAGAGAGGGCTAATTCACCTCATAGCCCTGCTCTGCAAGGAGCAGTTAAAAAAATTTTTTTTCAAATAAAAAATATTTAAAAAATAAAAATATTCTAAGAAATCAGAACAACAACAGTGAAAACTTTATGGAAGATGTGGCATCTGAATGTTTAGTATTCATCCGTGTTTCAAAACATGGAAATGGCAGGAAAATAGCATTCTAGAGATTTTGTAAAAGCATGGTCAAATAGTATGGTCAAAAATTCAGATGGATAGAAGCCAGACAAGTGGCAATAAATTCCTGATTAACACCACTAACCCAATACTACACTACTGAACTATGATGTGCACACTGGCAAACAAAGCAATACACTATCATGGTGAAAAGTACTTCACTAATGTACCTTAATGCATACCTCCAATCATATAATTGAGTACAGATGCCACAATCCCGTAATTGTTATATGGCAGCAAATTTTATTTTCCTCATTTTTGATGAGTTTGAATTCTGTGCAGTAAATTCATCATTCTTACAAAAACAATACAGCTATTTTTGAAAGAAAAAATTATAAACGTGTATGCTTATAAAAAGTTAATGTTTCCTTTGTTCATAATAATTTCTACTCCCACCCAATTAATCCTCATCCTTTAGCCAGCCGAGCACAATTTGTCATTTGTCCTTGATCAGCACATTCTACATTCCACACAAAAAATGTGTGGTGGGCAAGAATAATATTTAGGGAAGCTCACCTGTGTGGCCTGGCAACTCTCGGCTCACTCGCACATTTCCCTCTCTGGTCTTTAGGTTATATATAGAGCAGATGTTGTCCAAGCCTCCACAGGCAACAAAATTACCAGAAGGAGCATAAGCACAGGTCATCACCCAGGAGGACCTCAAAGGAATAGCATGCATCTGTGGAGCACACACCACACATCACTCAGATTACAAAAACAGTCATCTATTGCAGAAACCCATTTACAATGAAGTAAATATTACTAAAAATTAAATACACCTAAGAAAGATAAATCAAATAAAATAATGTAATGGCTTGAAAAAAACATGAAAAATAAAATGCTAACGCACATTAAGATGCCTATCATTTTGTATTATCCAATCATTTGAGTCAAAAAGTGCTCTTTTTGGAAATAATTATCTTGATAAAATAAAGAATATAAAGATGTTTCAATGATAATATATTGCCAAATACTTAATTTGAATATAATTTGAAAAATTAAGTGTAAAATGTTAAAGGTTTCAACTGAATTTTCGTTTTTGTAATAGTGCTCAAAAGAGAAATTTTCTCCAACGTAACTCTGAGCAAGAACAAGGGATATAATTAGCAAATATCAGAGTCAATTACATGGGTCTTCCATGAAAAGATGACATTAGCATCCTTCTATTAATAGGCTGCTATTCTGGGATCTCATTCAAACAATGGTGAGAGTTTTGCACTGATCTGGTCACTTGTTACCCTAACACCAATCATCTGAAGGTCAGATGGAAAAAAATAAGGTGTATGAGAATACCAAGGCTAAACAGTCCATACAGGGAATTAACACATGGCAGGATTACTACTATGCTCTCGCTTAATCTAAAACAATATGCTTAAAATACATTTTTTTTAATGAAAATACAGTTGAAAGATAACATGCTTAAAGATTAATAAAGAAAAACTATTATATTACAGAATTGTCTTAGCTAGCTTTAAAATCTCAGTCAGGTTGAAGTTATTGTTTATGTCACAAAAATGGCATTTTCAAATGTTTAATGAAAATACTAATATGTATACACAGAGTATAAAGGTATTAAACTTCTGAAAGTATTCCTGAAGCTTTTTCACTACTACCCAACAATTTAAAACTGGAGATTCCTTCCAGTGGATGTACTAAGACCATCCACAGTCTTTTACCACCAAGAGATTTAAACAAGTTGTCATTTGCCTCCAATCTACTCTATCTTCTAAGCAGTCCAGAAGCACAAATCAAAGCCTGAAGTGGGCCAAAGAGGAGCTTTACACTAGCCATCTAACTTATCCACAACTAAAAACAAAAATCTCTTTTTTTTTTTTGTCATATTTGGAAGTGGGGATTTTAAAAAATATATCATTTATTAGTATACATAAAATGGTACCCTTTTCTAATATTCAAATATTAAATATAAGTCCTCTAGTAAAACACAGAGTCATCTTTGGAAATAAAAAAGAGTTAAACATTAAAAGTAAACACTAAGACAAAAGAGAAGAACTAGATTAAAATAAACAATAAATTTATCTCAGAAACCAATTAAAGTTTGAGGTAAAATAATAAAAAGAACTGGTGAACAGCAAAACAAATATAGGGTTATTTAAAAGAATTATTAAGAAATTCTACCTTATTTGTTGTATAGCTATCCCAAATAATTAATTTTCCATCTTGGGAAGCACTGACTAGCAGCCTAGAGGAACAAACACAAAAATAATTTGATATTTAGAGGGAAAAAAACAGCTGAAATTGGTTATGTACTGCATTAATGTAGAATTCAGAAAAAAAAATACATTTTCTAATTAAAAATTTGATACCAAAAAAATGTTCTTCCAACTTGTAAAAAAATTTGTGCTGCATGCCAAAAATTTTGAACATATTTCATAAAATAAAATTTAGCAACTGACTAAAAATGTATGGGTATAATTAAACTTTTTCGTGGTAACATTTTAGTTAAACAAGGTATGGGTGGATCTTAGCTGACTGCTTTAGTACTTACTAACTTACTTAAATTTAATGACAAGAATGTACACAGAGGCCTAACAACCATATTCCATTCAATCTAAAAACATCACTGAGAGCCTGAGAATACGAGAGCACTAGAGGTACAAAGCAGAATACATCTCCTGCTCTTGAGGCCTCTGTCATCTGGTGAAGAGAAGACATTTACTCATATTTATATTTAAGCGAAAACTGCTAGAAGAGGGATATAAAATAAATGCCACAGGCGAGTAAAGGAGAAACCATGGCTAGCTCAGTTAATCAAAAGAGAATTAGTCTTGAAAGAAAATGTTGAGAGCTCAAGATAGGGAAAAGGCTGTTATTTTAGGAGAGATCAATGACAGGTAGAAAAACAGTGAGTATTTCAGGAATTGTTAGTCTTCCAGTTGTACAGAGTTTGTGAGAAAAAGGAAAAGTAAGTAGAGAAAAGCAGACTGGGTTTAAACTGCAGTTTGTTAAGCTAATAGTAATGTTAGCCACTAAATTCATTTATTTATTTATTTTTTTGAGACGGAGTTTCGCTCTTGTTACCCAGGCTGGAGTGCAATGGCGCGATCTCGGCTCACCGCAACCTCCGCCTCCTGGATTCAGGCAATTCTCCTGCCTCAGGCTCCCGAGTAGCTGGGATTACAGGCGTGCGCCACTATGCGCAGCTAATTTTTTGTATTTTTAGTAGAGACGGGGTTTCACCATGTTGACCAGGATGCTCTCGATCCCTTGACCTCGTGATCCACCTGCCTCGGCCTCCCAAAGTGCTGGGTTTTGTTTTGTTTTGTTTTAAACAGAGTCTCACTGTGTCCCCTAGGCTACAGTGCAGTGGCACGATCTCAGCTCACTGCAACCTCCACCTCCCAGATTTAAGTGATTTTCCTGCCTCAGCCTACCAAATAGCTGGCATAACAGGTGCGCAACATCACCATTGGCTAATTTTTGTATTTTTAGTAGAGACGGGATCTCACTGTGTTGGCCAGGCTCATTTCAAACTCCTGACCTCAAGTGATCCACCCACTTGGACTCCCAAAGTTCTCGGATTACAGGCATGAGCCACCACTCCCAGCCTTGTTTGGAATGTTTATTTTTCACCATGGTATAAAATTCAAAAAATAAAAAAAGGATATACAGAAAAAAATGAAAAAAGCACCTTCCTGGTCCTATCCCCAGCCACCCAGTTCCTTTCCCTATAGGTAAAAAACACTATCAGGTTTTGGGGTAGCAGTCATTACAAGATTTTACAAAAGAGAAAATCTATCTGATAGTGTGGTATAGGATGGAATCTAAAGAAAATTCTTTAAAAATCAATTGGCATCATCAGTATAAGAGTTGAGGAGAACCTTAAGTAATGAACTGATCACAAGGATGGGTGGGAAGACTATGTAAGATAGATTCCTGGGTGATAGTTTCATTTTTCTATAAAGATTAATAGTCTTGAGAAAACGTTTAAGGAAAGCAAGAACCATTAACATTGTTTTCAAGTTATATTTTGAGTTAAAAGTTTACTTTATCAATAGGTAAATTATTTTTATCTTAAACTTCTTTGAGAAAAAAAAATTAAGACATTTGGCTGGGCACGGTGGCTCACAGCTATAATCCCAGCACTTTGGGAGGCCAAGGCGGTTGGATCACCTGAGGTCAGGAGTTCAAGACCAGTCTGGCTAACATGGTAAGCCCCCTTTCTACTAAAAACACAAAAATTAGCCAGGTGTGATTCTGGATGTCTGTTCTCCCAGTTACTTGGGAGGCTGACGCAGAAGAATCGCTTGAACCTGGGAGGCAGAGGTTGCAGTGAGCCAAGATCAAGCCATGGCACTCCAGCCTGGGCAACAAGAGCGAAACTCTGTCTCAAAAACAAACAAACAAACAAAAAGAATAAGAATAAGACAATTGGCCTAGCTTTATGTCAGCTGTCAATTATATAATTTTATGTACCCCTTTCTAAGACACACATTTTCTATATGATTGTGGTCAAGTATCCCAATTAGAGCAACAACTGAGGCTTCTTCTACTTTACAATTTTATTCTCTTGGGATAAGAGAATAAATGTGTAATTCTTTTATTTTTTCTTTTAATTCTCATCTGGATTTTTTCTTTTAAAAATAAAAACTAAGCAGGAGAGAGCTGGAGTAGCAACTTCTATTAAAAAATAGAAGTTTCTTGGTTTAGACATTTCCCATTAAGATTAACCAAATCAAAGGAACAAGTAAACAACTGTGGCAGCAGATAACACCGGCTATTGCCAGACAATGGAAAAAGCATAGGCTGCACTGTAACCTTATACACGTAGTGAATGGTAGTGATGAGCAATCTATCTAATTGCAGGCAGCCGCATGTGTGCCTGTGCACCTGCAGACAGTCAACTTGCACATTCAAGCACATACCTTTCTGTGATGGAGTCAAGAGAGTAAAGGATATATTCAATAAAAATCTTTGTTTCATGTAATTTCCATTATTTGTGAATTTATGTAATAAGTAATTATAGCAATATCCAATAACTTGCACATAGAAGATGTTCAATAAATATTTCTGAAATTTCAAGGTTAATATACAGTAAGAATGCTTTGGGCATATGTAAAAAACAATGTCTGCAATGTCCTACTGCAAAGAAAAGAAATCCTCTTCTAAACAGTTGTCCCGGAATCTCTTAAAGAGTCAATGAATATTCTTAGTAAAAGCAGCATGTTCATTTGAGATGCATTTTCTACAAATGCTTCATGAATATAGCTTGTTTTTAAACAAAGAAAATGCAAATTATGATTCTTAATGAAAATAATCCTGTGACAGTTTAAAAATGACATGTACAAACCTGGAATCGTATCCCCAATGCATAGCATAGATTTTAGCTAGGTGGCCCCTCAGTGTACGTCTTGTTCGCATTTGTATTCGACCCACGGAGTCCATATTTGATGTAATCTTTTGAAAGCAACAAAAATGTTATTCTTTACCTTAGTCATAGTTCATGAGATAACCTGAACTAGAAACAGTGAGGAGGCAAAACAACAGACACAAAAGTAAATTTATAGTAATTGAAGGTATTCCACAGAACTGTTATGGGATCAAATGTTCATAAAAAATTATGATTAGTTTAAAATAATCCTATGTGCTATTGTAAATAAGAAGGCCTTCTGCAGACTATTAACTAAAAATAGATATATCTCTATGCTTCAGTAAAAAACCAGCCACAAATAAAAATCTAGTAACAAATGATCACAGTGAACATTTGTAATTTTAACTCTGTGAGAAAGCCAATTTTATATTTGTAGAGCACATAAATTATTTCCTTAATATAAATGATCAATATTAATTAAACATGAAGCCTTCCCAAGAGTTTTTTTAAATGTTAGTTTTCTTAACTCCTCTATCATTCCCAACCTAAGAAAAAAACCAATCAGGATATACCAAAAAGAATCAGAAACTACTTAAAAAGAACATACACTATATGAATCTATATATACATACATACCTAAATATGTGTGTGTGTGTGTATGTATTTTTGTTGTTGTTGTTGTTGTTGTTTTGAGACAGAGTCTCTGTCTTCTAGGCTGGAGTGCAGTGGTGTGATCTTGGCTCATTGCAACCTCTGCCTCCCAGGTTCAAGTAATTCTCCTGCCTCAGCCTACCGAGAAGCTGGGATTACAGGTGCACATCACCATGCCCAGCTAATTTTTCTATTTTGTTTCTTTTTTTTTAGTAGAGACAGGGTTTCACCAGGTTGGCCTCAAACTCCTGACCTCAAGTGATCCTCCCACCTCGGCCTCCCAAAGTACTGGGATTACAGGTGTGAGCATCTGTGCTCGGCTTTGAATCTACATTTTTATAGCATTTACTCTTCCATAGACATCTATTTTAACTCATATTTTAAAAAGCTCTGGGTGCAGTGGCTCATGCCTATAATCCCAGCACTTTGGGAGGCCAAGGTGGGTGGATCACAAGGTCAAGGGATCGAGACCATCCTGGCCAACATGGTGAAATCGTGTCTCTACTAAAAATACAAAAATTAGTTGGGTGTGGTGGCACGGATTACAGAGTCCCAGCTACTCAGGAGGCTGAGGCAGGAGAATCCCCTGAACCCAGGAGGTGGAGGTTGCAGTGAGCCGAGATCATGCCACTTCACTCCATCCTGGGCGACAGAGTGAGACTCCATCTCAAAAAAAAAAAAAAAAGTACTCGCACTGTATAGCATTTGACAAATTACAAAGTGCTTTTATACAGAAATTTCATTTAACTTTTTTTCAATTAAGTACTAATACGAGAATCTGAATGTCATTTGCTTCAGTGTCAAATTATTTCATGTGAGTTACCAAAATGAAATCAAGAAGAACAATTTACCTGAACAAGCGTTGCATCATTACATGCTTTCCGAGCATCCTGAAGTAAAGAAAGATGATTATAATGCATTTAGAAACCTGTGGAATAACTAAAGTGATATTGTTATTGAAAATGTAGACCTGCAAATTTACTTTTCACTGTACCACATGATCTAAATTTTTAAAATTGATATAAAAATCATATAACCTAAATTGAACCATTTTAACCATTTTAAGATATAAAATCTAGTGGTTTTTAGTATCACAATGTTGTGGAACCATCACCACTAATTACAGAACATTTACATCACCCCAAAAAAGAAACCCCGTATCTCCCAATTCCTTTTTCTCCCACAGCCCTTAACAATCACTAATTTACTTTCTTTCTCTATTGTCTCTTCTCAACAAAATTTGAGAGATGTCAATAATTGGAGACCTCAAATTTTTATACAAACTAAAGAGGATTATCAAAAGGAAGACAGTGAAACAGAAATTAACAAAAAATTAAAGACTGCAAAAAAACACATTTAATAAACAAAAAAATTTTTAAACCAAACTTACCAACTTTTTTCCAAATTTATTAGTTAAAAACAAATTTAGAGGATTTCTATACATAGAAAACTAAGAAGTGTGATTAAATCCTTCCTGCTAGGCGAACTTTTTTCCACAAAGGCTGCAGCAGTATCCTCAACTTTGTTTTTTCTACAGTGTTTAAGTACTTGCATACTCCTGAGCAAGGAGAAGGCACAAAGTGTTTAATAAAATGTCCCAAATGGACAATTTGTTCCAGTCAGCCAAGGAAAAAATGCCTGCTTCAGCTTACAGCAAACACTGGATGGTAGACATGATCTTTCTGGCTGCCCTTTCAACCTATTCATAACCACTTGGAATTTTTCTATGTAAGGGACAAGTAGTTGCACAAACTATATGATTTGATTCTTTCATTCTTAGCCAAACTGTGGGTTTAAAGACATCATCTGGTAAGGAATAACATAGCCCACTTTCCTATAATAAAAAGATATTCCAGAAATGACAATGATGGCCCTGAAACATGTTCCAAAAATGGTAGAGTTGAAGACCAAATTCTTAAAAAAGGTTTATTTCAAGCTTTAGGAAAATGAACTATCATTGTTTAGGCTCTCTTTCCTTTTTAATTTAGTCAGTTGTTTAAAAATAATTTGTTGAACTCTATGTGTGAGGCACTATTCTAGGCTCCAATAGACATAAAAAATCTCTGCCCTCATCGAGCTATTAGTAACACAATTTAAACACTGCAAATGAAAACTATCGAACTCTAGTAAAAAGTGGTAACAAAAATTAAAATATGTTGGAATACAATAATTCTACAAATATGTTAGCAGCAGTTACTTGCAAAATTACATTATGCAAAGATTCTATTTACACCGAAAACTCTCTCTTATGAACATTATTATCCATTATAAAACAAAATATAAGGCCAGGCATGATGGCTCACGCCCGTAATCTCAGCACTTTGGGAGGCCGAGGGGAAAGAATTCCTTGAGCCCAGGAGTTTGAGACCAGCCTGGACAAAATAGAGACCCTGTCTCTATTAAAAGCAAACAAATATTCTCACTGTAAAATCTGGCAAAAAATATAAAAAATTTTAAAAAAGAAAATAAATATTACATTAAAGCCTGAATTCCATACTGTCCAGCACCACAAGAAACACAAAATCTGATAAGATCTTTTCCAAAAGAAAGATGATATATGCTTTTTTCCAAATCAGAAGCACAACAATTATTTGCATTTTTAAAAATTTAAAACCAATAATCTATTACAATAAATAGCCTACATTTCTATTATACCATGTGTTTACACTATAGTTAGGTAAAAATATAGTTAGATTATATTTCTGGATCGGAGGGGGAAGAAAGGAAAGGTTCTTAAATATGGTGTGACAAACTAACAATAAAAGTACACAGCATTTCACATATGTGTGGTTACTTGAAATCATGGGAGGAGATGATCTCGTGAGCACCTGTGCCCATTACACTGTGCTTGGGATGCTAGTGAGATAGGGAGATTTAAGACACAGAGTTTTCCATGTAGGTACACAGAGAAGGGGCGAATGTGCACAAGGAACAACACAAGGCAGGCATGACCAGCTGTGTAACAGATGTCCAACATGCTGAATGAGTGAAAAACTGCCACTTGCTGAAATCAGACTAAGTCCTCTACCTGCTATTTCACTTAATTCTCTACAGAAACATATAAAGTGGAGTACTAGTTCTCCTGCTTCATAGCAAAGATACTGATCATCAGTGAAGTTAAGAACCTTGTCCAAATTAATGAAAAGGTGAAATCCATGGCTGTTTGACCATGGCTTGCTGCCTTCCATTAAAAAAAAAAGGGTAAATCCAAGTGAAGGCCTCTTGGAGGATTAGGAGTCATTGGATAGGATTTCCAAAGAGCAAAATTGGACCAGAGGTAGTATAATTCCAGGCCAAGGGAACACTCTGATAAAAGGTAACAGATAAGAAAGAGCAATGTGTGTTCAGGGAACCAGCCTAGTATGGCTACAGCGCAGGTCACATGAAAGGACATTAGTAACGAAGGTTAGGACAACCAACCTTAAGTTATAGCAGAACACACCTGGTCTGAATCCTGGATCTGTTACCTGGGCAACTTATTTAATCTCACTGAGCCTCAGCTTCCTGAACTATAAAATGAAGTAACACCATCGACTTCACAGAGTCAGCATGAGGATTAAATGAGATGGACATATGGCCACATGGTTGGCCAGTCACCTGCTCCTCCTCAGCATCTGGACTAAGTGACACAAAGTAGGGAGAACAGAAATTCCATCGAGTGGATGCAGTAACATCAAATTCAGAGGTGAGCCTGCAAAGCCTTCTGCAATCATCCCATTCAAAATCAGTCTCACCTTTGTTTTGAAAGCTTTGTTCAGATTCCTAAGATTTCAACTCAGAATTCTTATTCACAACTAAATAATTAACTTCCTTAAATTGCTGGCAATAAGTCTGTCTGGTTATGACTTCACTCAGAACCAACACTTTTATGGTGAATGTTCTTCAACCATCCCTGTTATTCCTAATCCTTTCTTCTCTTTTCTTGTATCATCTTTGTATAGATTTTTTTTTTTTTTTTGAGACAGGGTTTTGCTCTTTCATATGGTTAGAGTGCAGTGGTGTGATCATGGTTCACGGCAGCCTCAAACTCCTGGACTCAAGCAATCCTCCCACCTCAGCCTCCTGAGTCGTTCGAGGATTACAGGTACAAGCCATTGCACCTGGCCTACTCTTCACTTTTTTATTTTATTATATTTATTTTTCTGAGACAGAGTCTTGCTCTGTTGCCAGGCGCCAGACTGGAGTGCAGTGGCATGATGTCAGCTCACTGCAACCTCCGCCTTCTGGGTTCAAGCAATTCTCCTGCTTCAGACTCCCGAGGAGCTAGGACTACAGGCGCACACCACCAGGCCCAGCTAATTTTTGTATTCTTTAGTAGAGACGGGGTTGCACCATGTTGGCCAGGATGGTCTTGATCTCTTGTATTCTTCACTTTAAATTAGACAAATTCTTCAGAAACAGCTATTGCGAGAGGTTCAAACTGGGAAAAGCCACAGCTGTGTTCCAAGTTACGAGATTCTCCCTGCCTACCCTTGTACGTTGGTTTAGCCTTTACTTTTCTCTGGGAAAAGTAGTAGGCAGCTACCAGGCTACTCACAACTCAAAGCCTCTTTCCTCCACCCTGCTTATCACAGGCTGCCTACAAGATGGCACGTCTATATCCTTTCATTTTTAGCTCAGCCTTCCTTGATATTTCTCAGTGCTAACCAAGTCCAAGGAAGCATCTGTTCCCATTGTTCCAAAGAAGGGACTGTGGTGCTGTCTCTGAGACAGTGCTCCCTACGCAGACGCCTCCTCTCAGAGCCTCCCCATGTGTTGCTTCACTGCATTTGGCAACTCCTCCCTAGCCTATTATGCTCTCAAGCTTTAGTCTTTTAATTTTGTTAAAGCTGGAGTCTGTAGTTGTTTCTTATCCTCCTTACTGTTTTGAGTTGATTCCAAGAGTAAAAGATGTCAGACATGTTTTGATTCTGCCACTAATAGTTTTATTTTTTTTTGTTTTGCTTTGAGACAGAGTCTCACTCTGTCACTCAGGCTGGAGTGCAGTGGCACGAGCTCAGCTCACTGCAACTTCTGCCTCCCAGATTCAAGACGTTCTTTTGCCTCAGCCTCCTGAGTAGCTGGGATTAAAGGTGCACACCACATGTCCAGTTAATTTTTGAATTTTTAGTAGAGACGGAGTTCCACAGGTTGGCCAGGCTGGTCTCAAACTCCTGATCTAAGGTGATCCCCCCTCCCAAAGTGCTGGTATTAAAGATTTTCTTCAATCGAATGTACAGATTAGTATTTTCCTAGTGTATTACATTGTGACAATATCTACATTATTGTTTTGCACCAAAAATCTATGATTCTAGGTGTGTAAATAAAAAGAGAATTATGTCTGTCTTTCATAGAGGCCATTCTTCTACATAGGTACTTGTTAGCAATGATTTTTGAAGAGTTCTTTCGAGACATGATAAACACAAATAGACCTTAGTTCTTACTTCGAGAAAAAAAATAGACCATTTCTAGCCCTAGAAATTATACTGATAAACTGCCGGGTGCGGTGGCTCAAGCCTGTAATCCCAGCACTTTGGGAGTCCGAGGCGGGTGGATCACAAGGTCAAGAGATCAAGACCATCTTGGTCAACATGGTGAAACCCCGTCTCTACTAAAAATACAAAAAAATTAGCTGGGCATGGTGGCGCATGCCTGTAATCCCAGCTACTCAGGAGACTGAGGCAGGAGAACTGCCTGAACCCAGGAGGCAGAGGTTGTGGTGAGCCGAGATCGCGCCATTGCACTCCCACCAGCCTGGGTAACAAAAGCGAAACTCCGTCTTAAAAAAAAAAAATTATACTGATAAACTAATAGGCAAATTTTGTACATTCCTGGTACTAAGTAAGTGTTAAAATTTTGAAATGAAAAAGTTTTACCTGAATTTGATTCCGCAGTTGTTCTGCTTCTTGTCTCAACTGTTCCAGCTCGCTCATCTTTTCAATCTGTTTACCTCAGGAGTTAATGAGTGAAAACAGCTGTTAAAAAGTAGAGAAAGAGGAAGATTCAATTCTCTATTTACATCTTAATCTAGTTTTAAAATACTAACATATAACTTCTTTTTGGTCCTTCTGAAATTCAACTGAGGTGGTCAATTATCAATAGAACTTAAAGATGCTTAGTAAATATAGATTGAGGTTATTTACTGAAGGATTTTATACAAGAACATGATCAGAGGATGGAGGAGAAATTCCAAGTTGTAGTATTCAAGACTGAATTATGGGGAATTAGTACCAAAATGGAGTCCAGTGAGAAATATTTTACAATAGTTCAGAGGGCACTAAGACACTTCTCCACTGGGATGTCTGGATCAGCACCTCATACAGTACCCCATCCCACCCCCAAGCCTTCCCCATCTCAGGAAACGCAAGTCCATCCTTACTTACAATTGTTTAAGCTAAAAATCTGGGAGCAATTCTTCTCTGTTTAATAATATCCTCCCCATCTAATCTATTAGCAAATCAATGTCAGTTATTCCTTAAAAAATTATCCAGGTTCTAATTCTGAGTACCTCCACTTCTACTGTCTCGGTGTAAACCACTATTATCTCTCACCTGGTCCCCTTTCTACTGCTCTTGACCACTCTCTGGTCTAATTAGAGCAACTAGACATCCTTTTAAAATACAAGTCACTGTAAATGTTCCAGTGGTTTTCCATTCCACTAAACTCTTATTGTGACCCACAGAGCCCTATATCATTACACACACACCCCTCTGACTACTTCTATCACTCACACTTTTCCAGCTGTTCAAAGGCTTCTCTAATGTTCCTTGAACACACTAGGCAGGCCCCAGTCTCAGTGTCTTTGCGTTTGCTCCTGCCTCTGCTTGGATAGCTCTTGTCCCTGATATTTTAATCACTTGCTCCCTTACATCTGCTCAAATGTTATCTTCTCAGTGGGACCTTTACTGATAGCATGAATGCACCCAAACATGCTCCTCTTACCCTATCTTTTTCTTCACTATAACACTCAACACCATCTGGCATGTATTTACTTATTTGTGGTCTCTTTCCTTCTGATAAGATGTGAAGGGCCAGGGTGTAGTAGTTCACACCTGTAATCCCATCACTTTGGGAGGCCAAGGTGAGTGAATCACATGAGGCCAGGAGTTCAAGACCAGCCTGGCCAACATTGTGAAACCTCATCCCCACCAGAAATACGATAATTACCGGGTGTGGTGGCACACGACTGTAATCCCAGTTACTCAAGAAGCTGAGACACAAGAATTGCTTGAACCTGGGAGGTGGAGGTTGCAATGAACTGAGATCATGCCTCCAGCCTGGATGACAGAGCGAGTCTCTGTCTCAAAACAAAACAGAACAAAACAAAAAGATGTAACGTTCCTTGAGGTAGGGTCTCTGTTTTAGTCTTTGTTGTGTCCCCATCACTTAAGATACTTTAGTCTCCACTAAATAAAGCAACCTGAAATAGCTTAACAAAGGAATATTCATTCTACGGATTTAGGATGAATCACTGAACTAAAAGACAGGACTATTAGTTCCTCAAAAAGGCAACAGAGGCTAGAAACTAGGAGTATTCTTTCTCTACCTGTCCTCTTTTCTCTTCATGTCTTCCTTGGTTTTTTCTTTCTACAGAGTAACTTTCTCTGCTCCCCTAAGTTCAGAACCCAAGCTTATATTTTTTTAGGTCAAGATTATAGCCCAAAATAACTGTCCCAAGTCCAAATTCCTGTAAAAGATTGATTCCCCTTATGAGCAAGAATTTGGTTTTGGAGTCTATCTTATAATCATCACATCAGCTATGGTACAAATATCTGTTTATTATGTTCAGACAAAAAAACACCAGTATCTGTTTATTCTTTCAGAATTCACTTTGTATTTATTTTGTCCAATTAAAAAATAAATTTATTGGGACTGACTAGAATGGCATTAAGGTATATTACAGTTTGAGAAGAACTAAAATCATTCTAATATTCCATTTCCAATGTAATATTGTCATATATTTCTCTGCTTATCCAGATTTTCTACCTTTTATTTATGAGTCTTAACCATTCCCTGATTGTTTAACAATTTACTATCCTTCTCAGAGAGGGCCAGACTGGATAGATTATAGTGGTCTGGAATATCATCTTGCTGAACTGAAGATAAGCAGCATGCAGGCTCTTTAAAGTCACAACCCTAGCTTCCCTTGCTAACCATTCTTGAGATATCCCTGGCCCAAAAGTCCTAGAAACCCGAATTGGTTTTGATACCTCTTTATTTTTTGGATCCCCCAAAATTATGGGTAAGAACTAGTTTACATCTCTCCTACTAAGTTGCTAACATACTAGAAAGAACTATCAAGAGATCCTAGAGGGCCTTGAAACTTTTTTAAAATTTGCATTTATTATTGATGTTGTTATTTATAGAGATGCGGTTCTAGCTACAATGCCCAGGCTGGTCCTAAACTCCTGGGCTCAAGCGACCCTCCCACTCCAGCCTCCCAAAGCACTAGGACCACAAGCATGAGCCACTGAGCCCAGCCTGGGTCTCAGAACTTTTAAACGCATTCAAAATTACCTGTTACCCACCCTACTGCTGTCCCACCCTGGAAGCCACACACACATACAAGTGACCTTCTAAAGCAGGAGCTACCTGTAATAAGAGTTACTTGGATAGACTATGATCTATACCAAATGAATGAGAACTTCAGGCTGAGTGCCCCCAAGGATGGAGGTGCCATGAATAGAAACGGAAACAAAGAAAAATCAGTTCCCTCAAACACCACCACCACCCCGTGGACGGGGCACTACTGGGAGAGGCCACTGGTCACAGACCCTGCGCCTTCCTGCACATTCTGGCTGGGAATGCCAAGAATATAAGTCCCTAGTGGCTGTTACTTGGGCCATCTCTCAAGGTTGTTTTGCAACATTCAACCTCAAGGAATAAGGCAATGTCTCCTCATGAAACAAAGAGCAGAATGGCTTCTATTTACTGTAAAAGTGGTAAAACCCCCAACCTCAGTGTCTATAGGCTCTGATGCAAATCCAGTGCATGTGCAGCATCCATCTGGGCCTACCTGTGTCCCCCTGAGGGCCCTAGAACATGCGGAATCAACACAAAGCAGAGTCACACCATGCTACTCACTGTGAGTAATGAAATATTTTGTCTCCAACCATGGAGTCTCATGTAACAGTAACACATGCATTTATTAGCTTGTAAGTAGGTAAAGATCTCAGGCCCTTTGCAGTCATTGATATGTGGTTCATAAGAAAAAAGATGAGGGGTCCAATGTGGAAAACAGTGAGACTGTGGCTCATCCCTTCTTATCCAGGCTTCATCCAGTACTTCATCAGGCATTCTAGGTCCAACACTTCAAACTTTTTCACAGTACCCTAGCATGCCTGCCCTTCCACCTTGTCACATTCAACAGCAAAGGCAAAACCCTGGATTAAATAAGCTACCTACTTTCTTTCAGCCAGCACATGGCCAAACATGGATTCAGAAAGTCAAACAATGGTGCATTATCAGTTCTAGTACAAATTCACAACACCAATCTCAACTAGGCCCTCAAAACTACCTGGCAACCCTACACAGCTTCGTATGCACTGCTTCCGCTCTTGGTATCAAATATTTAAATTCTTTTGCAATCTTTTCAAGATTTTGACCTTCTCACAACCCCTCTTGTTGCAGATGACCTTGACATCTATATCATAAAGTAGAAGCCATCAGACACAAACTCTCAATTTTCTACTACTAGATATAGAAAGCTATACATACATAACTGACTCATCATATTTCCCATCTTCCTTCTGTGTGTGTGTCGGGGGGGGGAGAGAGAGAGAGAGAGAGAGAGTGTGTGTGTGTGTGTGTGTGTGTAAGTCTCACTCTGCTGCCCAAGCTGGAGTGCAGAGGTGGTGAAGTGCAGCCTCAACCTCCCAGGCTCAAGCAGTCCTCCAGCCTCAGCCTCCCAAGTAGCTAGGCCCACAGGTGCGCACCACCATGCCCAGCTAATTTTCTTTTTTGGTAGAGACAGGGTCTTGCCATGTTGCCCAGGCTTGTCTTAAACTCCTGGGCTCAAGCGATCCGCCCACCTCAGCTTTCCAAAGTGCTGGGATTACAGGTGTAAGTTACTGTGCCTGGCCCTTCCTTTCTATTATAATACAGTAGCTGACTTCTCTCCTGTTTGGGCCAATTCCTCCACTGGTAATTCATTCACTCATTCATTCAGAGACAGAGTATCACTCTGTCAACCAGGCTGGAGTGCAGTGGCAAAATCATAGCTCACTGTAACCTCAGACTCCTGAGTTCAGCCAATTCTCCCACCTCAGCCTCCCCCAGTAGCTGGAACTACAGGCATGCATCATCATGCCTGCCTAGTTTTTTTTTTTTTTAAGAAATGGAGTCTTGCTACACTGACCAGGCTGCTCTTGAACTCCTGGTCTCAACTGGTCCTCCTACTTTGGCCTCCCAAAGTGCTAAAATTATAGGAATGAGCCACCATGCCCAGCCCCTACACCAGCTATTTAAACTCTCACCTTTTAAGTAATCTTTTACTTCCAGTATATTCAATCTCTTACATTTTTCTCGTTTTAGTCTTTTTTTTTTTTTTTTTTTTTGAGACGGAGTTTTGCTCTTGTTATCCAGGCTGGAGTGCAATGGCGTGATCTTGGCTCACCGCAACCTCTGCCTCCTAGGTTCAGGCAATTCTCCTGCCTCAGCCTCCTGAGTAGCTGGGATTACAGGCGTGTGCCACCATGCCCAGCTAATTTTTTGTATTTTAGTAGAGATGGAATTTCACCATATTGACCAGGATGGTCTCGATCTCTTGACCTTGTGATCCACCCGCCTCAGCCTCCCAAAGTGCTGGGATTACAGGCTTGAGCCACCGCCCACGCCTGGCAGTCTTTTTTGAGACGGAGTCTTGCTCGGTTGGCAGGCTGGAGTGCAGTGGTGCAATCTCGGCTCACTGCAACCTCCACCTCCTGGGTTCAAGCGATTCTTCCGCCTCAACCTCCCAAGTAGCTGGGACTGCAGG